ATGTGTCATGCTGTGCTACAGTTTCATGGGAATCACAGCCCGTGGAGATAGACAAATAAGATCATAGATGTAGTTCCTCCTCTTCATAATTTGCATTCTACTGCATGAGCCGCAAGAGAAGTGGTAGGAAATACATCAGTGAAACGGGCCAACGACATCTTTTGGATGTGCAGAATGGTGCCATGAAATCAGTACCGTTGCACTTCAATTTCCAGGATCACCAAGGTTTCCACGACATGGAGGTGACAGCAATGAAATCCAGCCACTGAATCCGCAAGTCTCTTGAAAATCACTTTATTTTTACCATGGGCACCCTAACACCCAAGGGACTGAATTGTCAATACAGTTTCATCTGAAATTCTCCAGTACGGCCCTTGGCATTCCCTGGCTGTTTATTCTCGGGCCCAAAGTGTTCATTCTTTCCACTAGCAAGACATCAACGTGGCTACTTCTAACTACAGCGAGTGATTTTGTGTATCCGTGCAGTTTTGTCTGATTTATGAATGAGCTTATAAAGGCTCTACAGCCACAACATTTTCTTCTTCTTCTTCTTCTTGTTCACCGGCTGTGAATTCCGGCGGTAAGTCACGGTTGTTCGTCCAAAATGGACTTTTGGCTTTTACCTTGACCTGAGTTTTGCGTGTACATCCGTTTTACTGGCTTATTTGTTTGCAGTACTCGTTCCCCGCCTCTCAGGCAGATGTACTCCGACTTCGGAGGAAAGCCACAACATTTAAGCTTTGGTTGTGTTTTTTATATTGTAAAGCTGGCTGACCTACTTTCGTTCGGTTTTATATCGCTCTTCTTCATAACAGTCAGCTTGGGCAGCATTGTAAAGAACATGTGTTGCCCATGCAGGACTATCCCTCTATCGGCCTGCCTTGTTTACTCCAAAGGAAAAGTAACACCAATATATCTGGAACAAAGTATTCTGCAGAACTGCTGGATCATAGGAATGCTCTGCCTTTACAAACACCTGCCAACAAAAGGCTTTTACAAATTTTTAACAATGAAAAATACAAAAACAAGGAAAAGGATAAACTTACAGTTCAATTTCTCCACCCTGCTATTCAATTTGTTTTTCTGTACATCCTTCTTTACTGGAATGAATCGAGCGAGCACTCTCATGAACTGGCGGAAGTTAACCGTATCAGAACCACTAAAGAAAATGACAAATAAACAATATACATCATATACAAGTAGTCAAAGAAGGAATTTCTGCAAAAAACCCAAATGTGTTTTGTAAAGTAACCATTTGAAACTAATTCTTGTATTTGTTGGTTCTACACAACCATTCCCTGGGGTAGGAGCCTGTCCTACTACTAGGCGCGTCCACCAGGTGGCGGATGGTGGAAAGGCCTCTAGATATAGAGGTTAGCCACGAATATATTGAATAAGTGGCCGTGGACCAAAACAGGTGATGGTCATTGAGAGGAGGCGAGTTAGTTGGTGGGACAGCTAACTCTATAAAATACCTCAAAACTCTACGACATGGCCATCGGCGGGTAAGAGGCGCCATAACCTCCCCCCCTGCTGCCTTGCAGGGTAAGGTCTTTTTAGACAAAGGCTATTGGAGTCAAACCATATACCAAACCGGCGGAAGGCAAGGGGAAACCACCGCTGTACCATCCCAAGAAAATCATGCCTCAAAATAATACGTATTCAGATAACGACGTGAATGGGGATTCCGGTGGAATCACCTCGTCCGGTAGGGAGCATCATGTTCTTACGGGTGATACCCGACCGTCATCCAACTACTGTAGAAAAAGTAAATGGTAGAAACATCATGAACATTGGTACATGGAATGTCAGAACACTCGTGCAAAAACGGAAAACTGGATAACATCAAGATGGAACATGAAGAGAATGAACATTAACATACTAGGAATTAGTGAAATTGCGATGGCCAGGAGCAGGGGAAAAGTATTCAGATCAGCACAGAATTATCTACTCGGGAGGGAAAAGAATATAGCAAGGGAGTTGGTATTATTTTGGATCCAAAGAACTCAAAAACTGTTAAAGGATTTTGGACAATATCAGATAGAGTACTATTAGTAAAACTTCGCGGCAGACCGTTTTGACATCAACTTAGTACAGATTTATGCCCCAACAGCAGATAGTTCAGAGGAAGACATTGACACATTTTATGATGAGTTAGACATGGCTGTGATCAATGCAAAAATTGTGAAGTAACAATGGTACTTGGAGATTTCAACGCAAAAGTAGGAAGTGAAAAAGTGTACGGAATAACGGGTGGATATGGACTAGGAGAAAAGAATGTGAGAGGTGACAGATTAATAGCATGGGCTGAGTCGCGCAGCATGATAATAGGTAACACCTGGTTTAAACACCATCCTCGAAGATTGTGGACTTGGAAAAAGTCCTGGTGATAATGTCCGCAATCAGATTGATTATATTTTGATTTCAAGAAGATTTCAGAGCAGCCTTAGTTGGAGCTAAAACTAGACCAAGGGCAGACTGCTTTAGTGACCATGTTCCAGTTGTAGGAAAAATTAGAATAAAACTAAAGAACATTAGAAAAACACCACAGAACATCAAGTTAAATTTAGGAATTCTCAGAACGGATAAAGAAATTAAGGAACAGTACAACGTCACTGTACAAAACGGTATAATGCAATGGAAATTATACAAACAATTGATGAACAGTGGGATATGTTGCGTGAGTCAATTCAGCAGACATCAAAAGAGACAATCCCACCAACCCATACAGTTGCAAAAAAGAAATGGATGTCAACCGAAATTCTGCAGTTGATGGATGAAAGAAGGAAGAAAAAGAATGATAAGAAGAATACTCTAGAATACAAAAAGAAATAGTGAACAAAAATGCAAAGTGGCTAAAGAAGCCTGGCTGAATCAAATGTGTACAGAGATTGGGGAAAATCATGGGAAAGACTCACATTCCATGTACCAACAGATAAAAATGTTAACAGGAAAGATGACACGTAACAGCACTGGATGTTTGATATCAAAGGATGGTGGCTTATTTAATGGGACATAGTAATATAATTAACAGATGGACAGAGTATATAGGGGAATTGTATGATGATAATAGACCAGACGTTAGAACTGCAGAACAACAATGATGGTCCACCAATAATGACTGCAGAAGTTGAGGATGCAATACACTCATATGAAGAAAGGAAAAGCACCCGGGCCAGACAACATCTCACTGGAAGAATCGAAGCACTGTGGAAATTTTGGAATTGAAATAATAACTAAACTTTTAAAATGATATTTATAACAGTGGGTATATTCCAAATGACCTTTTTAAAATCCATATTTATAGCTCTGCCGAAGAAAACCAGGCACTTTAAAATGTGAAGACCATCGCACCAATAAGTCTTATGAGTCACATGACTAAGATTTACTGAGAATAATTATGAGAGAATAAGAAACAAAATTAAACCAGAAATCAGTGATGAACAATGTGGATTTGTAGAAGGAAAAGGTACAAACAATGCCATATACATCCTAAGGACATTGTCAGAAAGAGCTATAGAAGTAAAGACTGATTTGTACTGTATGCTTCATAGACTATACAAAAAGCATTTGACTGTGTGAAGCATGAAGAAGTAATCAAAACTGTTAGAAAAATTAAAACATAGATGGGAAAGATCTAAGAATAATAAAGAATATGTATTGGCAGCAAACAGCAGCTATAAGAATTAACAACTGTTTAGGGTACATTTCAAAGCATAAAGAGAGGGCGTACGACAAGGATGTGTACTTTCACCTGAGTTGTTTTCAATATACAGTGAATATATTATGAGATCTTTATTGAAATGCCCGGAATCGTGGTTGGTGGGCACAATATATAAACAATTTACGTTATGCTGATGACACAGTCTTGATAGCAACAAGTCAGAAAGAATTACAGGAAATGATAGACATTGTGGTGTTAGAAAGTGGAAGAATGGGGCCTCAGTTTTGAATAATGGAAAAGACAGAAGTAATGGTGGTATCAAAGAAACAAATTATTCCTAAATGTGTAATAAAAGTCAATGGTGTTATTTTAAGACAAGTACAGAATTTTAAGTATCTGGGCACATGGATAACATCAGATGGAAGATGTATAACTGAAATAAGAAACAGAATTGGACAGGCAAAAACTGCATTTTATAAAATGAAAAACATCTTGTGCAATATATCCTTGTCATTGAGAGTTAGAAAAAGAATTCTTGCTTGCTACATACATCAAATTTTAACATATGGATGTGAATCCTGGACAATCGGTAGGCAGGCCAAACAATTTTTAGAGGCCTCAGAGATGTGGTTTTACAGAAGAATGCTTAGAATACCTTGGACAGCCAAAAAGAGCAACCAAGAGGTTTTAAAAGAGGCGGGAGACCGAAGACAACTTATCACTGACATCAGAAGGAGATAGTCATCATTTTTCGGCCATGTTATGAGAAGAGGGAAAATAAAACATGTTGTGACCACTGGAAAGATCTGTGGAAGGAGGGATAGAGGAAGACAACGAGAGAAGATGCTTGACAGTCTTGTTGCATGGCATGGAGGTGTGTCGGCACACGAACTGATACATGCTGCAGGAGATCGCGGATTATGGAGAGGCATGATCGCCCACGCCAGTCGGCAAGGCACCTGATGATGATGATGACACAACCATTCCCAGCGTAAAAGAATGAACTGGTGAAAGTTGATAACTTGAGTAACCAAGGTCTATGGGTATTCTTATATTTAAATTGCAACCAACTTTCTCTTTCTTCGTATGTCACTTTCAATTAATTTCATGACATTCCCCCCCCCCCCCCCCCCCCCCCCCCCAACCCCCTCCCGCCCACCCCCCCCCCCCCCCCCCTTTTTTCTCTGCATGTCTCTCTCACTTAATCTCTCCCCATTTTCTCTTTCTCTGTATGTCTCTCTCACTTAATCTCATGACCCCCCCCCCCCCCCTTTTTTTTTCTCTTTCTTTGTGTGTCTCTCTCACTTAATCTTATGACTCCCCCCCCCCTCCCCCCCCCCCTTTTTTTTTTCTCTTTCTTTGTGTGTCTCTCTCACTTAATCTTATGACACCCCCCCCCCCCCCCTCCCACATCCCCGCGGGTCAGTTTAATTATTTTTTTAAAACTTTTAAAAATTAAAATAAGGAAAATTGTTGTTGTCATAGTAGTTTGTATATCTACAGTTACAAATATAATTAATATGTTAACACAGGCATCTATAGATTCTGACACATTCTGACCAAAACGTGTGTCCATACTGTCTGTTTCTCTTGTTGCAGGATCTACTGTCCTCTTTTTAAATCACGTCTTGTTATGTTTGGAGTGGGGGCGTGGTGGTCTTGCCATATACTCAAATGAGGCATGGGGGTCTTGCAATATACTCAAGGGGGTGTGGGGGTCTTTCCATATAATCCAGGGGAAGGGGGAGGAGGCGCGACCTGAAAAAGGTTAAAGACCAACGACTTGAGGCGTTCTCGAGTGTGAAAAGTTTATTTTCCCCCGACTATTTTCCTTGCTTGATAAGAGGAATTTCTGATAAGAAGAACAATTTCTTGAGTCCACAGTAAGTTCTCCTTATCAGGTCTTCTTTGTGTTTCTACTGTCCCAACTTTCTCAGTCCATCTGTATAGGGTAGGAACCCCATGTTTTTAAACAAACCTTCAAATGATGGTCACTGTCACACCCATACTTTTACTTTCCATAACTTTTTGTAGTCAACTTTAGGCTGAAAAAACATGCCAGCTCAGTAAAGGAACCTAATCCACCATATTAGGCAAACAGGGCTATACCTATATTTTATATATGCATCAAATATCTTGTATTTAATGTTTTTAATATTCAAATATATATATATTAACTACATCACAAATTATTCCTGTAACCTTTATTTTTGTAGCGGGCTGTGCAGGTGTTCAAGACAATGAGCGTGCAGATCATCTGGCAGACAAGGCAATTACCACGAGTGGCCCAGCATTAGACAGGAGTGATGTCATTAATGCCATGCAAGCTGCATATCGCAGAGAAGATCACAACAACAAGGAGGACTTGGTATCCCTGTCCCTGTGATAGGTGGCCATGGAGGTGCGGCCTGGAGTAACCAGACATGAACTTTTCACCAAGGGCACAAAACGTCTTAGCATAGAAGAGGCATCCTCAGTCATTCTACTCTTGTGGAGCTAGTGAGATGGAGATCAGAGAACCTATGGATCTGTCTGGAGTGCTGTGGTCAAGATCACACTGGTCATTTTTACTTTCAGGCTCCATGAGGATTTGAACCCACAAGTTTTTTTATCCGCCGGCAAGCATCTAGCCACTGCACCACAACTCCCATGGCAGCTGAGGTCACTTTGTAAAACAAAAAACCTTTTGTGAAGATTTGAACAACAAATCACATGGGTGGAAGGCAAGCATGTAAGCTAATGTCCTGCCGCAGCTCTCAAGTGCTTACTACACTACAGCAGAATCATTAAAAGTAAAAACTTTCTACAATTTAACAAAATAAAATCACCTCTCCTGAAAGAATGCCTGGACAATTCTGTCTCCCAAAGGATTTATGGCGAGCTCTGGGATCCATAGAAATTCAGCTCTCCTGGGATCAACAATGTAGACATATTACAGATTAAGAAGATATTAGCAAATGAAGGAGATCATAACTAAACATAAGAAACACCTATCTCAGGCCAACTTCTTCTGAAGTCTCCATGTTGTTAATAACAAAACTACTATATCTGAAGTATGTGACATTTTCAATCTCTTTGTTGTTGACATTTTTCTTTGTTGGTATTTACAATCTCTTTGCTGTTGACAAAATTACAGTGCCAGTTACAACCTGATTGAAAGTTTGCCTGTTTTTCCCCTGCCGGTGGAAAAGCATCCAGACCATCTGTTTACTCCGGGCTGTATCAGTCTCTCCAGATTTGGATGCTCTGTCTATTCAACTGCACTGTTTAATTGATCCCAGAGAGCCTTCAGTATTTCCACTTCATTATAATGCAGCTCACCACCCAAAGGGGCGGCAGCAGCCAATCAGCCTATCCAAGAGTTTGTAGATCTGAGTGTGTATTATATATCCACCATCTTCTTGGTCCGTCTTACAGTCTACTCCCATTCAAATGTGTGTACAGTTTTTGCCTGTTTTCTGACCTTCTCTCTACACGCCCCAAGTAATACAGTCTAGGTTTAGGTTTAAAAAAACGGATCAACATCATGGCACAAGGGTAGTAACCCATGAGTGCTCCGTTCTACTTCTAACTCATGCCTGAGTCGAAAGAATCTTTGCGCAGTAGCACCGGCAAGGATCCTTAACTACTTTGGGTAGACTTTTAGCTCAAATTTCCAATGGCAATGCTGTTAGACTACTCTTTTCAACTTCCTACTGCCAAGGAAATTTTGTTTAATGTGCGCAACAATACACACAGGCGTCCGGTCTTACTACCCAGAAACCAGGGGGAAATCCGCATTAAAAAATGCCATCCTTCATCGGCGCCTGAACCTGGGACCTCTAGCATTCAAGGCAGACACCATGCCTCAAGACCACTCAGCCCCACCCCTAGGCCCCAAATGTATTACAGTCTATTAGTCCTTATGAACAAAGTCTAACACAGGAACTTGCTATGTTGTCAAATAAGGCGGAAATTCACTTGCAGTGGATTCCGTCTCACTGTGGCATCAAAGGCAATGAAAACGCAGATGCTTTAGCCAAGGAAGGCAGTAACAAACCACAGACCTACCAGCCACTATCTTTTCTAGAAGTCAAAATTCTCATTAAGAGAAAATCAGAAACAGATTGGAAAACCAACACTGGTTATAACTACGGAAAAGATTTTCTGAAACACTTGAACAGAACAGACCAAGTCACAGTTTTTCGCTTACGCACTGGACACTGCAGACTCAATAAACACTCACATAAATTAGGTATGAGCCAAACAGCTCTCTGCCAGTGCCTTCGTGCTGAACAGACTCCAGAACATGTCCTGCAAGACTGTCCTCTCCTGGCAGAGCTGCGGAACGACATATGGCAACACCCAGTAGAACTGACAACTAAGCTTTGGGGAAACCTAAGAGACCTTGAAAAGACATCCCAGTTTATGACCCACAGTGGATTATGCGCATGACCAGAGATGGCTGAAGAAGAGGAGGAGTCCTTATGAGCAGCTGCTGGTTACAATGTCTGGCTCTCATGTCAGAGACCCGGGTTCGACCCCTGGTAAAGTGATGGAGTTTTTCTGTCGGGGGCAAAATGAAAATATCCTAACCTGCACAGTCCATGGCGACAGCATTAGCCATGCAGCCCTTAATCCTCAGGCTCATGACCTCCCTGTCTACACCGCCTAAAAAGGTGGTAAAACAGACAGTAGTGACAGTTTACTGTCCTCATGATGCCAGTAATTAGTGGTAATTTAAACAGATTTTGAAGTTCATTATTGCTTCTCAGTCTCCCTTCTCGGATACTTACATCTTTGAGGGGTCCAAATATTTGTCGTGGAACTATGTTATCAAAAGTTTGTAATAAGGCTTCATCTCTTTTAGCAGTACTCCAGATTTCAGCGTCATATGGGACAATTGTTCTTTTCCATGGCTTTTTCTTCTAAAAAATATGCCGGTATTCATCACAAAGTGTCTATTACAGTGGCACTGGAACAAGGGAAAAATAGGTGCCGGTACTTGTAACTGTACCATTGCACACCGCCAGAAAAATAAGCACAATCTTATCATGACTGTACACTGATTAGGTAACTTACAGTTTGCCTTTTGTTGCTTCTTTTACGGACTGCATCATAAGTATATCAGAGTTCCAGAAATGGGCCACTGTCAATCATGAATGGATAAAAATTGTCAAAATGTAAGTATGATAACCCACCTCAGGAAACCCTGGTCACTTTTATCCAGACTGGTGAACCTGCTGTACAGGCGAATGATCTGGTTATTTGAAACTGAAGACAACAAAACAACACATGATGGTATGTGGTATAATAACTTATTTTTAGTTTCATCAATTTCTCTAAGAGAAAGACCTTTGCTGTTTTATAAATTCACCCAGACAGGGCAGGCATGGCAAGTAAACATTTAGGTCATTCTGGGAAATAAGGGCATCTGGCAGTCATAGCAAAGTGCATAAAGTCATAGTAAAGTGCATAAAGTCATGGTATAGTGCAGTATGGACACAGGGGTTCTTAGATCCTCAGTGCTAGCGGCCACAGTAAAGTGCACAAAATCATAGTAAAGTGCACAAAGTCATAGTAAAGTGCACAAAGTCATAGTAAAGTGCACAAAGTCATAGTGAAGTGCACAAAGTCACAGTATAGTGCACAAAGTCACAGTAAAGTGCACAAAGTCACAGTAAAGTGCTCAAAGTCACAGTAAAGTGCACAGTCAGAGTAAGGTGCACAAAGTCATAATGTAGTGCTGTGTGGACACAGGGGTTCTTAGATCCTCAGTGCCGGCAGCCACAGTAGAGTGCACAAAGGCACAATAAAGTGCACATAGTCCTAGTTAAGTCACAAAGACACAGTAAAGTGCACAGTCATAGTATAGTGCAGAATGGAAACAGAGATCCTAAGATCCTCTGTGCTGGCAGCCCTAGTAAAGGGCACAAAGTCATATATATGAAGGGAAGTCAAAAATTAGCTATACTTTTGACACAACTCTTATTATATTGCCCACATTGACTTCTATACTCGCTTATTTTATTGCTATACTGTTGTGGTAATGCTATGAAATGTTGATCCTAATTCCACAACTTTTCTTCCTTCTGTTGCATATAGATCATGGATCCTCAGTTAGAAGTTTGCACCAAAGAGGAACAATGAGCAGTAATGAGATTCCTCTGGTCAGAGGGTGTCAAAGATTGAGAAATTCATCGTACGTAGACTATCATCGCAATATGGGGGAAGTGCACTATTATGTGAATCTGTGTTTTTGTGGATCCAGAAGTTTAAAAGTGGTCGACAAGTGTAACACATGAAGTGGAAGTAGGACGGCTATTAACCTCCACTACAAATGACAACCTTCAGTAAGTTCAAGAGATGGTTCTGACAAACAGGCGAATTACCATCGACGAGGTAGTATCTGCATTAAACATTAGTCATGGTTCTGCCCATCAAATCATCCACGACGAGCTCGGCTTTCATAAAGTCTGCACACGGTGGGTACCAAGAAAGCTTACTTCAGATTAGACTACAAAATGCGGTGCAAACCTGGCTTCACGGCCAACCGAAGAAATTTTATTCGGAAGGAATGTGTAGGCTTGTTAACCATTGGGCAAAGTGCACGGAATAGGTTGGAGATTTCATTGAAAAATGATGTGCATAGTGAAACCCTAGCTTCATGTAAATAAATTATAGAATAAAAAGTGTAGATAATTTTTTACTCTCCTTTGTATTTGTAATTCACCTTTTTTTTTAAGTATACGTTTGTGGAGCTACTGGGTAGGAGATGAGAACAGCTTTACATCTTCTGTGATGATATACATATAATATGTAATATGTATTTTAGTACACGTGCTTCCATAGTGAGTTGCACACGCCATTTAGAGGTGGCAGGTTTGATTCCCGGCACGGTAACTATAGCCTTTGATTTTTATGTTGTCCAGCCTGTTCTTTTATTTTTCTATGAGTGCCAATCAATGCACTGTTAGTTTACTTATTATATATATATATATATATATATATATATATATATATATAGTATATATATATATATATACATATTACATTAGCAGACAGACTTGGTAAAAATGGAACAAAGGAGAAACAACACATCCCTCTATTGTCACTACCAGAAATCAGAACACTTATCAAGGGAAAATACGAGGAATTGTGGAGATAACAAACTAACAGTAAACATCCATATGACCCCATCAGTCAGCAAACTCAACAGAAAACAAAACTTTTCCGTCTACGAACAGGACACTGCGGGCTCAACTACCACATGCATAAAATAAAGATTGAACAGTTCCCACAGTGTGCCTGTCAAACAGTACCACAAACACCTGAGCAGATTCTGCAGACCTGCCCAGTGTACCTACAACTTGGAAAAGACCCTGGGCTCAAGAGCAAAGTGTGCACAGCAAGCTATGGGGAACCTTGAAGAACCTGCTGCTGACATGCGAGTTCATAGAGGCAACCCACCTGATAGTCTGATCTGAACATACGAAACCAAACGCAAAGAAGAAGAAGAAATATATATATATATATATTTTTCTAACGTCTATAAATATATAGCAGTAAACAGTAAACTATCGCTGGACCAAGAAATCAACATCAGGATAGGTATCGCAGCAACAACAATGAGCAGACTGACACAGAGAGTTTGGGAGAACAGAAAGCTAACAATTAAAACAAAAACCCTTGTATATCAGGCTTGTGTTCTCAGCACTCTGCTTTATGGCAGTGAAACTTGGTCAACATATTTGCACCAGGAGAGATCCTAAATAGCTTTCACATGCGATGCCTAAGAAGAATACTGGGCATTAAGTGGCAGGGCAAATTCACAAACACTGAGGTACTGGAAAGAACAGGTACTACAACAACAGTCTTTTCCATGCTCAGTCTAGGAAGGGCTCAGGAAGCTGGGTCACACCTGGAGAATGGGGGATGGCAGAGTCCCTAAGGACATCCTTTATGGTGAATTAAAGACAGGAAGAAGATATCGAGGCCGACCTCTACTACGATATAAAGATGTGTGCAAGGCGGGACATAAATGATACAGGTATTGAGGTGGACTCATGGGAACAAAATGCCATAAACCGTGTTGTGTGGAAAGGGCATATCAGGAAGGGAATGAGAGAGAAGGAAGAAATGATTGCAGAAAGGATGAGAGCTGAGCAACTGAAAAGAAACGGATTAAACACAAATGTTGACAACAATGGTCCTGAAATCCCATGCTATCATTGCAGAAGACTTTTCTTGACACAGGCTGTGAGTCTCATGCCTCCTCATAGCGCAATATAACACTATCGTCTGGAAAGACAGAAATGTGCCAATGAATGATGATATATATATATATATATATATATATATATATATATATATATATATATATATATATATATATATATATATATATATGATATACTATATATAGCTCATATAGTACATATATAATGTGATGATAGACTTTCATCAACCAGTTCAGAACAGGAGTTGTCAGTGTAACCTAAACAAACACAATAAATAAAGAAGTTTCTTAGAAACAAGCTTAGGAAACAACTGGAACACCTCATCTTATTAAATTCTCATTTTCACTCATACAATAGTATTCTCAATACACTAAACTGGATACGTTTTAATTATTTATTATGTAATAATGCCTGACGTGAACCTCCACTGAACATGCATGATGACAATTGACATGATGATCTTGAACGAAATTAATAATAATAATAAACTACATTTTGGCTCTTCTTCGATCTTCCCCCACATATTATGGTGGCCAAACAAATACCCTAACAGGGCCTCAGTCCTATGCAAAATGCAGAGTTCCTGCCGAGGAACAAATCGCTGCAAAACTAGGATCGGCTCCGAATAATGGGTAAATATTATCGAGGGCAAACAAATGCTATAACAGGGTCTCGGCGATATGTTAATTGCTGACCTGTTTCTGTGACCATGCCACACAGCCAACAGCATCCCCCGCGCCGCTACACGCAGCGTGGGTGGGGCGCGAAACTAGATGGCTGGGACTCACGAGCAGCTACCGCATCTCCTGCAATTTCCTCCAATTTATTTGCTCGTGAGTCCCAGGCATCTAGTTTAGCCCCTCCATCCACGCCACGCGTAGCGGCAGGGGGGGGATACTGTCGACGGTGAATTTAACCACGTTTTGTGCATGTCAAAAAGTGTGAGGACAACGACGCTCATCTGCGTCAGAGTGCGTGGTCTCCCTGCCATGTTGCTTTTGTCGTCTGTAATGTTGCATGTCTCGAAATTGTCAACGGTCGCTATTATCGTCTGCTACTATCGTAGCAGTGTTGCGTGTCGTGAAATTTTCAAGTAATCCTAGTTTTGCCGCGATGTGTTCCTCGGAGGAAGTCCGCATTTTACTCACAACTGAGGCCATGTTAGGGTATTTGTTTGGCCGCCATAATATGTGGGGGAAGATGGAATTAATGATTAGAAAGGATTATCATCACAGCACTCCGGACAAATCCATAAGTGCTCCGATCTCCTCCTTAAAAACTCCACAAGTGTAAAACGACTCTTCTGTGTTGGTTAATGAAACGTCTTGTCTTCTTAGTGAAATGGTCATGTCTTGCAGCTCCAGGCGGCATCCCCATGTCCATCAGCCTAGACAGGGATACGGAGTCATGTAGCCTTCACAATCACACCGTAAAACATCATCATCATCATCAGGTGCCTTGTCGACTGGCGTGGAAGATCATGCCTCTCCATAATCTGCGATCTCGGCTTTCCTTGCAGTACTGGACCTGGACGAGGGCTGGACGGCGTAGTTTGGTTTAGTGGGAGTTCTCTCCCTTGGCCGCACTGGAAACAGTGAGCGGAAAAGTCACGAAACAAATGACATACTTACCTATCATCATACGGTTGCGTGTAGGGTTGTTGTCATCCTAGGGTTGCATGTAGGGTTGCGTAGTCATCATACGGTTGCGTGAAGGGTTGCGTAGTCATCATACGGTTGCGTGAAGAGTTGCATAGTCATCATACTGTAGCGTGTAGGATTGCGTAGGGTTTAGGGTTAGGGGTATGGTTAGTTTTAAGGGTTAGGGGTAGGGTTAGGGGTAGAGTTAGGCGTAGGGTTAGGGGTTAGGGTTAGGGTTAGATGTGAAAATTTTGACGTAGGAGTTCCAAATACTGGCCAACAATCTGATGCTTGTTGGAGTGGCGCCACTGACAGTCTGCCAAATATGACGGCAATAGCGCGCGGCTGGTGCCCAATCGGTGGCGAATTGTCCGTAGCATCCACAGTTCGTCGACTGTTTGGGTGTGTATGTGACTGTGCGTGATTATAGCGAACTCCTGCGTCAAAATTGTCACATCTAACGCTAAACCTAACCCTAACCCTACCCCTAACTCTACCCCTAACCCTAACTCTACCCATAACCCTACCCCTAACCGTAACCCTAACATTACCCCTAACCCTAATCTTACTGCTAACCCTAACCCTACCCCTAACCACGCGAATTTATCAGTCATTAAAGCATACAGATCGCAAAAAAAAAACAAAAAACAAAAAAACCCCAGATTTCCCCTCAACGTCAAAAAAAAAAAAACCAGATCTGGGGGACACAACCAAGCATTGGCAGCCCTGATATAGACCTCACTGTCTTCTTTGATTCGTGACTTTTCCGCTCACTGCTTCCAGTGCGGCCAAGGGAGAGAACTCCCACTAAACTGACCTAAGCCGTCCAGCCCTCGTCCGGTACTGCAAGGAGAGCCGCAATCTCCTGCAGCCGTGTGCCGACACACCTCCATGCCATGCAACAAGACTATCAAGCATCTTCTCTCGTTGTCTTCCGTAAAACATATTATTATAGCAGAATGTAGCGAAAACAAATGCAACCACAATCATTACTCACAGCCAGTTTCTTTGTGTATCTGTCTAAGTTCTTCCTCCTGCAACATAGACGAGCTGGCTCCCATCTCTACTTCTGCTTCTCCACGGGTCAAAGTTCAATCGCCTTGACCCATACCTACTCACTACCGTGTTGTATCGTGTATAAGCACCGGTGTGCGGGTTATATTTGTCACCGTGTTGGTTTTCCTGTTGCGTGGTCAAGACCTACCTACCTATCTATCTATCTATCTATCTATCTATCTATCTATCTATCTATCTATCTATCTATCTATCTATCTATCTATCTATCTATCTATCTATCTATCTATCTATCTATCTATCTATCTATCTATCTATCTATCTATCTATCTATCTATCTATCTATCTATCTATCTATCTATCTATCTATCTATCTATCTATCTATCTATCTATCTATCTATCTATCTATCTATCTATCTATCTATCTATCTATCTATCTATCTATCTATCTATCTATCTATCTATCTATCTATCTATCTATCTATCTATCTATCTGTCTGTCTGTCTGTCTGTCTGTCTGTCTGTCTGTCTGTCTGTTGTACCGTGTATAAGCACCGGTGTGCGGGTTATATTTGTCACCGTGTTGGTTTTCCTGTTGCGTGGTCAAGACCTACCTACCTACCTACCTATCTATCTATCTATCTATCTATCTATCTATCTATCTATCTATCTATCTATCTATCTATCTATCTATCTATCTATCTATCTATCTATCTATCTATCTATCTATCTATCTATCTATCTGTCTGTCTGTCTGTCTGTCTGTCTGTCTGTCTGTCTGTCTGTCTGTCTGTCTGTCTGTCTGTCTGTCTATCTGTCTATCTATCTATCTATCTATCTATCTATCTATCTATCTATCTATCTATCTATCTATCTATCTATCTATCTATCTATTCTATCTATTCTATCTATCTATCTATTCTATCTATCTATCTATCTATCTATCTATCTATCTATCTATCTATCTATCTATCTATCTATCTATCTATCTATCTATCTATCTATCTATCTATCTATCTATCTATCTATCTATCTATCTATCTATCTATCTATCTATCTATCTATCTATCTGCCCACCCGTCCGTCCGTCTATCTATCTATCTATCTATCTATCTGATCTATCTATCTATCTATCTATCTATCTATCTATCTATCTATCTATCTATCTATCTATCTATCTATCTATCTATCTATCTATCTATCTATCTATCTATCTATCTATCTATCTATCTATCTATCTATCTATCTATCTATCTATCTATCTATCTATCTATCTATCTATCTATCTATCTATCTATTTTAGAGTGACGGCAAAAGAAGACGAATTCTTCTTCTTCTTCGTCGCGTTCACCAGCTGTACACTCTGGCGGAAATTCTAGTTGTTCGTCCACTACTGAACTGCAGTCCTGCTCCAGAACCTGAGTGTTGCGTGTGCATTAGTTTTACAGATCTCATTCTCTTGAATACAGACTGTTGGTTCCTTGCCTTTCCCGCAGATGCACTCCGACTTCAAAGGAAGCTCCCCAATTAGTTGACTCTTACGACATGCTTTTGGGAAGGCAGTTTAAAATAAAACTGTTACAGGCAATTGATGGTAAAGATTGATGGTAAAGATCTAAGAATTTTAAAAAAAAAACATACTGGCAACAAGAAGCAGCCTTAAGGATTGACAACCAAGTTGGAATTTTTCTAAACATTAAACAAGGCGTAAGACAAGGATATGTACTATCACCATATTTATTCAATTTGTACAATGAAGTAATAATTAGATCTATACATGGTATGCCAGGAATATCGGTTTGTACGCATATTGTTAACAACCTTGTGATATGCTGATGATATAGTTTTCATCGCTGAAAATGAAACACAACTGAGATAAATAATGCATATAATTGTAACAGAAAGTCAAAACAAGGGTCTTAGTTTGAACAGTAGAAAAAAAAAAAGAAGTAATGATAATTACAAACAACTGACACTCATGCAAGTTCATATGTTTAAGTACTTGGATGTATTTAGGAAGTTAAATGTAGATTAGCTCAAGCAAAGGCGGCATTTTACAAAATAAAGAATATTTTATGCAATCCTGTGTATGTGTGTCAATTGAGACGAGAACGAGAATTCTTAAAAGCTATTTAAATCCTATAGTGATATGTAGATGTAAATCATGGACAGTCAGTCTTGCAGTGGATACCAGCCCACTGTGGTATTCAACTAATGAGAGAGCAGATGAATTGGCAGAAGCTGGGAGTAATCTTCTACAACCTCATCCACCACACAGCTACAAGGAAACCAAAACAGCGCTAAAGCAGTCTTTCAAGCAGGAGTGGAGAAGGCAGAATGGAGATTACAGACCAGAGAGTGACAGCATAAACAAACTCAACGGAAAGAACAAACAACAATTTTTAGACTTCTGACTGGACACTGTGGTCTTCGAGCACACCTGTACAGGATAGGCATAAAAGAATCTGCTGCCTGTGATCGTGGAGCAGAAAGACAGACCCATGAGCACATACTACAGCACTGCCCTTACCTCTCCCAGCAAAGACTGTGGATCTGACCCAAGGGAGCCACATTGAAAGAGAAGCTATGGGGGACCGGTGGCGACCTTAAACGCACAATCCTATGTGTGACCCAAACGGGACTCAATGTCTAGCATGACTGATGTCGAACGCAGAAGAAGAATGGACAGTCAGTAAATTAGTGACAACTTATTTGGAAGCTGCGCATATGTTGTTTTATATGCGAATGATGAGAATACCCAGGACAGATACAAATAGTAATGAAGTCGTTTTAAAAGAAACTGACTCAATAAAAGAACTGATTGTCCACATTAGAAAGAGACCATCTACATTCTTTGGTCATGTGACGAGGAGAAAAGTGGAGTACATCGTGACGGTAGAAAAGTTGGAGGGGGAGGCGGAGGAAGACGGGAGAACAGATGCTGGACAGTTGATTTGATTTGATTTAAGAACCGACATCACACTACTCGGGGCATTCCCATAAGCGCTCCGTCCCCATCCTCAGCAGCCAGCGAAGAATTCCGATACTAATGGTGCCAGTAGCATTCTGGAACTGATGCTGGACTGTTTGACATCATGGCATGGAAGATCATCTGTGTCAGAGTTGATTGCAAATACACGAGACATAAGGTTGTGGATAGACATGACTACCAGCGCCACACGGCATGGACTCTAAGAGGAAGACAGATAATTGTGTGCGGATAAGAATACGAAAGTGCTAGAAGACGAAACTATGTAGGGGAGCTCACTCCAAATGCAGACAACCGGAGGTGACACGGGAGACCATTAACAGTGACCACAGTGTTATCAGATATGATTTATTTTAATTAAATAATATTCGTATAAACAGTAAGGTCTTTTGTTGCTTTCCTTCTAGTAGTTTTAATAATTGAAAGTTTAAATTATATGTGCAGTATAATATCATGTTATACATCTCTTTCAACTTCTTTGTGCTCATTAATTTAATACAAACTTACAGCGTATCAAACTAAAAAACAGCTGTCTGTACTGATGGCTAAATTTTCTTTGCCACTGTTCCGATGTTGACAAGTGAAGACCACTTTCATCCCAACTCTGCCCATTAATGAACCAGTGTCGCCGAACACTAATTCTATTTGTATTTATCGTCACAGGCAAGCATTAAATTTAACTTAACCTGTCATATCCTAAACATAAACATTTGTTCTTCTTCTTCAGCTTCAGCATTCTCATGATTCTGAGCCCTTGAGGTACATTGAACATTTCTGCAGATATCACCCGCCTCCATTCATCTCTCTGGTTGGCTTTCTATTTCCAATTGGTGACACCAAGTGTTTGCAGGTCTGTCTGGACATTATCTCTCCATGTTCTTCTTGGTCTTCCTCGTGGTCTATGATGACCATTCATCTCCCTTGTGTATACAATTTCTACTTCTCTGTCACCTGACATTCTTTCAGTATGTCCCAACCATTTCAGTCTATTAGCTCTCATTATGCCAGTGATCAGTGGTGATTTAAACAGATTATGAATTCTGTTATTGCTTCTCACTCTTTATTCACCGCTGTTTGCATCTTTGATGGGTCCAAAGATATCTGCAGGAAATTCAAAATCAAAATTGATGTCGACCACATCACTGATCAAGCACTGATTGTTCATAAGCCTAGCATCATATACTCATTGTACCACTGATGTACTAAAGGATCCATTACTTTATAGGGCTAAATGATTTAAAGTAAACATCAATATAGAATTCTACTCTATTCTATAAACAAAAAGATCACGTTATTAATTTAAATTTATCATGGTAATCTCATGACTGATTTTGATTTTGAATTTCCGGCAGATAAATGTACAGCAGCTTGAAAATTTGGTTTATGCTTTTCAGTACCCAAAAAAAAGGATTCATTTTGTGCTTTAGTATGTGTTGATTTAACTCTGTAGTAATGCACTTGACAAGATACAGTGAAATATGCCAGACAATAAATTGTGCAATGTATTATTTGTGTCCACATTATTTAAATTTACAACGGAAATTTTTTTTGTTTGTTTTAGTAGAGAATTGGTTAATTTACTGGCTGGATAAGAAATGCATTGCAAACCACTTAAAGTGATCTCAGACGAAGCAAATTTCTGTTGTGAAGAACAGTTTGTTTATTGCTGACAATTTTTCTTGCTTTAACTCTTATCTGGATAAGAGCAATTTCTGATTAGACCTGTATCTTCCTTCTCATGTCTGCACAGTAGTTAAATATAGCATATCATGTAAAGAATTCCCTGTGTGTGTTCTGAGGCCCCATTTTGGGGGAAATAAGAATACACACACTGCCCCAACAAGTGTGTCATAAAAGCTGGCTATTTAGGGTTGTTTCTTTTGAAGCTGGAGTGCATCCTCCTGAGAGGCAAGGAACAAACAGTTCGCATACCATTAAGCCAGATCTGTAAAACATGTATGCGCAAAACTCAAGTTCTGGAACAAGACCAAGGTCCAAAAGTGGACAAACAACCAGAACTTTCCACCAGAGTTTACAGCCGGTGAGTGCTAAGAAAAGAAGATGTATAGAATAAGCAGAAAAAGCATGGTTTTGAAAGAGTTAACATCTCAGTAACATGTGAGTGGAAAGCTATATTATTTTTGCTTATAATTTCAGGTTCAGTTTGGTCCAGTCAGTGAGAAAGCCTAAATAACCATGGCAAGTGGAAACTTGTGCAGAAAACTTCCTCTATCTGCTGGCCGCAGTTTGACATTTCTGAAACCAAAACACAAAATTCTTCATGAGCAGAGAGCTACAGCGTTTAGTTTATGGGAGAATAATAAGAAGGGTACAGACGAGATCATCTCCAAGCCTCCCCTTGTACACAGAATTAATCAGTTTGTAAAAACTTTTGTGCCGGAAACCAAAAAATATATTGAAGAGAAGAAGCTTGGTCTCTCAACAGGGGTCATGCTTGAAGCTGAGCATGGCAATTATCAAGTTGTGTTTAGGTAATTTGTACTGTTATTGTTCTTCATGTGGGTTTCAGGGCCCAGTTGTTGGAAAACAAGAATAGACCCTGTGCCTCCCCAACAAGTAGGAATGAACTAAGTAGGGCATCCTTCGAAGTCGGAGGACATCTGCACATCTGCCTGAGAGGCCAGGAGCCAAGAGTCTGCATAAAATAAACCAGATCTGTGAAACGAATGTGCATGCAACACTCATGTTCTGGAACAAGACTAAAGCTAGGAGGTGGATAAACACCTAGAACTTTCCACCGGAGTACAGCTGGTGAACGCGAAGAAGAAATCAGTCTTGGCTGGCATAGTGGGTAATGAACAGGCAGACAGATTGGCTGGATCTGCACCACTGGGTGGTGAACTGATACATAACAAGGCAGATGTGGTCAAGGCCCTTTGGGAGCAAGCAACAGAATGAGTAGAGAAACAAGATTATTATGGCCTGGAGAGAATGAGGCAGCTGGGTCTAACCACAGGGTCTGGCTGGCCCACTACACTCATGGAAAGGGCAGGACGGACATATAACCAGATTGTGACTGGTACCATCAGTATTGGAACTCTGCGCTGGCTGCTGAAGATGAGGACGGAGTGCACATGGGAATGCCCCGAGTGTTATGATGTCAATTTTTGGCTCAACTCAGAGATAGTATTATACTGGGTTATAGCAAGTCATGAGAATCACAAACAGTTATGACCAGGGTTGGAATTCCTTGTGTCCATAGCTAAAAACCTGAGCAGTGCTGTAAAGACCATGTATTGCCCAGTCAGCTTGATCCCTCTCTCAGCCTGCCTTGTTTACTACAATGGAAAGGTAACATCAGTACACTTGGAATGAAACATTCCTCATGTAGGTTCCAGGGCCCCATTGTACGGAGAACAAGAATAGCCCCACTGCCTCCCCTACAAACTTGTTCAAGCGGGTGACTAATTGGGGGCATCCTTCGAAGTCCGAGTACATCTGCCTGAGGCAAGGAACCAAGAGTCTGCCCACAGATAGGAAAGATGTGTGTCACTGATGTACACAGATGTACATGCAGTGCTCAGTTTCTAAGGTTCAGAGGTGGAGGAACACTCAAAACGTTTGAGCATTTTTTGGCTGTTGTGGGTTTTTTTAAAGGCAAATTTGTGTCCACTAGTTTACCATTGCTATCTGAATGGTTGACTCTTAATATGACTCTAAACTAATGCAAGGCAGTCTGCTACCAAAATGCCTGCAGCTGGAATCAAACCCAGTACCCCGGCATTACCAAGCACGTTCACCACGCCTAATCCACGGTCTCAGTCTTAGTCGAGGTTTCAACTTCACTAAAATCAGGTTCCTCCATACTTGCTCCGCTCCTGTGCCAGTGAAAATAAAAGACAATGTCTCTTACTGTCCCATTTAGAAAACTGGTCAGCATACAATCAGACATGGACTGAATATATAACGGGGAAAAGTCTTAGTTGGGGTTTCAACTTCACCACAATCGGGTTTCTCCATACTTGCTCAGTTCCTCTGCCAGTGCGAATAAAATAAAATGTCCCTCACTGTCGCATTTGAAAAACTGGGGAACAAACAACTAGTCCCGGCACAATCCAGAAATATGTGCACGCAGTAAATGTGTATTTCGGTTGCTAGAGACGCCAGAGCAGGAATTCAGTGTGGGAAAAACATATAAATAAAACTATATTATTTAACTGTTGTCAGGTTTGATACCCAGGAAATTGTATCCAGTTGGATTGTTAGCACAGACAAAGACAACAATCAGGGTCAAAGCACAGCTGATTTTGTGCTCACCCAAAACAGGACGGGTCTGTTTCGTGGGAACCTTTGTACAGAAGTCCCAAAAGATGGGAAAACAAAGTATGCCGGTTTCGCCAACATAACCTGTCCCCCACCCATGGTAAGTCAGAGCATGATGTTTGAATTGTTTTTCCCTGCCTGGGTTCCTGAGCCTAACTGGCAGAAAACAAGAAGAGCCCCTCTGCCTTCCCAGCAAGCATGTCAGAGTGCATCTGCCCGAGAGGCAAGGAACCAACAGTCTGCATACAGATAAGTCAGACCTGTAAAACGGATGTGCATAAAACACTCAGATTCTGGAACAAGTCTCTAGAGGTGGATGAACAACTAGAACTTTCCACTGGAGTTGACAGCCGGTGAACATGAAGAGAAAGAATTATGTTTTGTGTAGAAAAAAGCATGGAAGAAGAGCAGCAAATATATTAGAAAAGAAGATGGTCTTCATTGTATCCATTGACAAATTGACTTCAACTGTGGTAATGCCTGTCTCTGAGAGAACGATCAAATCATCTGCATACCTAACTAATAGAACTGGCTTTCCACCTGGTATAATTGATTAAAAACGGCAGATTAAATGGTTTGGTTGTCTCATTCGAAGGCAGCAGTATCAGAACATGCACTACGTTTCAGAAGGTTAGCTACAAGAGCAAGAGGAAGGCCATGAAAAACATTGATGGACAACATTAAAAACACTTTACGCCTTCACAGCATGACAATTGCCAGCCAGTGTGCACTGGATCGCAGATTATTCCTCCCCACGGTGCGTAAATGGCAGAAGAAATTTATGATGATTACTTGATCAAAACTGTCACGGTTCTCATCGTGTCTGACATTTCACATGATATTTTCTGCATAAATGTTAAACAACTGCAGCGAGAGAATGCAACCTTATGTTATCTTCCTTTGCACCTCAGCCTGTGGGAAAATTGCCAGTTTACTTTCCCGTAACACTGAAAGTCTTAGGACACCGAGTTACCTTCAACTGTTTAGTCATCAGATCTTTCCATTTTTGGCAGTCAGTATAGGAAGCATGTAGGTGAGTCTACAACTTGGCACCAGAAAATGCTGAGCATGTGCTCCAACACTGTCAACAGTATGCTACTGACACAGATGCCATCTGGCCTGTTCCAACCACATCACCATCATCAATTCCACTTCTGCTGTTGAGCTTTGTTCGGAGGAATAGACGTTGCTTGATGGGCAGCAGTGGCTTTTGTCATTCAACGTTGATGTAGAATCTCTTGAGTGTCCTCCGTCCATCTTCTCCTAGGTCGGCCGTTAGTTTTACTTCAGATCTTTTTAATATGTGGTGTCTGTATTGAAGACAAGGCTGTGTGGTAGTACACAGAGAGATACTGACTGCACAATAGCTTTCGTCAAGGTTACCAGCCTCCTCATATACAGTTTCTGGCAGAAGGCTCAAAGAAGAAGGAAAAGACTATCAGATGTGGTAGACTTAATATTTGTGTGTTTGTGGCCAATTCTGTCAGCAGAATTGTAGATCCAGGTCTTCATTTGGCCTGCCTAGTCCTTCTTCCTTTATACCAGGACTGTTTAACGTTCCCAAGGCGGGCAAAAGAAACGTTTTAAGGACACCCTGAAGTTTTCACTCAAAGCATTTAGGATGAATGACACCAATTGGGAGGCTGCCTCTCAAGACTGAAATGCATGGCATGCAACTCTACACAAGGGCCCGGCTACATGTGAAGCAACCAGAACAGCAAGACTGATTAAGAAAAGGATGGACAGAAAGGCGACTGCAGGAGATCCCCTCCCTGGCACAAGACTCATCCCTGTCCCCACTGTCCAAGAACTTTTCGGGCCCGCATCAGCCTCATCAGTCATCTTCGTACTCATACTTGAGGAAAAGAGTGGTCATCATCATTTTGATGGATAACACACATATTTAACTAATTTCACTTAGGGGGCAAAATATTGAAAATGGAAATCTTTGCGGGCCAGAAGCCATAGCCCAAGTGTAGAAAGCTTATTAATACAATACACTTGACAATGATCCACGAGCCACTTGCTAGGCTTTTGAGGCCCATATGTGGCGCGCGGGCCATTAGTTGAATAGCCACTGCTTTAGACTATAGTTTGAGTGTATAAATTTATTTGCATCATTCTCTTTGCAGAAATCTTACTCGAGAGAGACACACTGGGATTGGTCCCTGTTCAACTGTTTTTTAGTTAAGTTGCGTGGAGACGGACGCCACTACAATATTATCCTCGGGTGCGACTTTGAATATGATATCATGTGGTTAAACCGCTGGAGTTACCCATTGTTCACACATGGTGGGCCATACTGGCAAGTGGCAAAGGTATGTGTACATAGTATCAAATCTAGGCAATCTTGAGTCTCCTTCTTCTTTGATCCTTCTGTCAGAAAAAACTTATATGAAAAGGCAAGTAGCCTTAACGAAAACTGGTGAGCAGTCCAGATTTCCCAGGGAACCATATATTTAGCAGGCAACTAGCCATTATGCAGAGAGAAATTAAACCTTATGGAAGAAACTATTACTAAAGTTAATGGATAAATGGAACTAAACCTCATGGAAAAAAACAGAACTGGAGTCAATGGGAGAAACTGAACCTTATGGCAAACTGAACCTAATGGGAGAAACTGAACCTGATGGAAAAACTAAATCTAATGGGAGGAACTAAACCTTATGGGAGGAACTAAACCTTATGGGAGGAACTAAACCTTATGGGAGAACTAAACCTTATGGGAGAAACTATACCTTATGGGATAAAACTAAGCCCTATAGGATAAACTAAACCTAATGGGGGGAACTAAACCTAATGGGAGAAACTAAACCTTATGGGATAAAACTAAGCCCTATAGGATAAACTAAACCTAATGGGAGGAACTAAACCTAATGGGAGGAACTAAACCTTATGGGAGGAACTAAACGTTATGGGAGAAACTAAACCTTATGTGATAAAACTAAGCCCTATAGGATAAACTAAACCTAATGGGAGGAACTAAACCTTATGGGAGAAACTAAACCTTATGGGTGAATGGGGAAAAAGTAAAAAAAAAATCTAGCATTAAGACAATAATCAAATTTTAGAAACAAAAACTTCCATTAAAATTATGGAAGAAGATCTGGTGCAATGAAGCATTCATGTTTCTACTCTTTATATTAGTTTAGAAGGATTTCCACACAACAGCAAACTGAAATATAGAGATTTGAGAAAAGTGACTTTTGAACTTTTTTTATCTTGAAAAAGTGCACTGGTGGTGTAGAACCCACTTTTTAATGCTAAATGTTTACAATGACTTAAATTTGTGTGTCATCTATTCTACAACATTAAAAAAGTGTAACCTTTAAAGAGGCAAATAGCCTTAATGAAAACTGTTGTGCAGTCCTCTCTGTGAACCCCACAACTTTCTCTTGATTGATCTTGGACTAGGCCAGGTTACTGCTCTCTTGGAGCATGCGATTGGCTTTGTTGGAAGACGTGCTCAGGATTTTCAAGTTGCAGGAGCAGGTCTCTTGTGTTTCCTACACTGGAAAACTGCCGTTTATGTGGGTGACGTCTGCTGTGCCTGTCCCTAGTCTGAATATGGTGCATTGTCCCTCTATATGGATGTGATCAAGCTCGTTTTTTTTATCCGAGGACTTGCATCATTTTCAGATCTCACCATGACGCTCTTGCATTTTTTACACAATATTTATTCCTTAACAGATGAGAGTCAGTCTTTCTAGGGTCAGATAGACTGGCGCTGTTTTGGGAGAAAATTTCCTGGAAGCTGAAGAATAGAAGAATGTGTATTTGTCAGTAAGGCATCAAACACTAATGCCTCAGTGCTTGGGTACTGCTTGCTTCTTCTTCTTCTTCCCCCCTCTCCTCATCTTTTTTTTAATCTACTTTTTATTATTTTCCCTTTTCTGCTTCTCTGACTCCTCTTTTTCTTACTTCTTATTTTCTTCCCCTGCCTTCTTTCTTGAGGTGGCAGGGTTAACTTCATTCTCTTATCCAACTCCTTGTTCATTCTCCTTGCTTCCATATACAGGGACTGGGTTTTGTTCCATCGAACTGGTCGTAAGTTAAATTTATATTTTTTAACACTATTTTCATTCAAATAGGTTATTCAAATTCTGCCCACACACAAAAAAACTCAGATATTCTATCTTTGTACAGAATGTGAAAAATACATGATGTGTACATTATTGTATAAGTTCTGCGAACTTGTTAATCCTACCAGTGTAATCCTTTTTGGAGGCGGGGGGGGGGGGGGGGGGGGGGGGGATCATAAGTTGCTGTAATTGTTAGTCTTTCCTGTGTGTCGTTGGTGATCATGTCTGTACCAAGCCTTCTCTCTCATAAACTGTCATTTCTGATCCAGATGTTATATTGTTCTAATTAAATTGTCTCTTCTTTTTCCAGATTCCTTTCTCCAAATTCTACCTTAGCTACAGAGGTCGTATCCAAGACAAACAGGAGCCTGTGCCAATGAATATAATCAACAGCTTTGGAATAACTCTGGCTGATAAAGTCGATGGGCCATTCTGTCTGGAGATAGACAGTGTTGCCGTTATGTATGATATTAATCTCAGTGCCAAATTTGCTTATGAGTTGTACCACGACAGGCATTATTTAACACAGACGTAAAGATGGAGAAGAAAAGCAAAATTCTCACCTGTTATTTTATTTTCATGGAGTTTTAGAATCATAGTTTTGATGAATCTGCTAACATATGTGTATATAAAATCTGTGATTAATCATCAGCAAAGAAGTCAAAGTCAAAATTTTGAGAGCATGCATTTTTACTTACTTACTTAGTCAATCTTCTTCTACCCTAGGATGTAGAGATTTGCCAGAGAGATGACCAGACTTCTCTGTCAGCAGTTGTCTTTTTGGCTTTGTTCAATTTTGGTCCTCTTGGACTGTCAGCAAGCCCTGGGACACCCTGGTGGCCCACTTCCCTGCCTCCCATGCCTGCGTGGAAGCTGATTCTCTTCCATCTGCCTACATGTCCAAACCATTATAACTGACCGACCCACTCAAGTTTTTAACGCCTGGGTTTCAAGATCATGACATATTGTCTGGTTGCAAACCTTGTCACTTGGACCACCTTTCTCAGAAATCTATTTTCTGAGGCCTGAAATGGCTTCTGTGAGCTGTTCAGCAGGCATTTTCCCTATAGCAACATTCGGGTGTGAGTCATGGACTCTCTCGCAGTCATTATAGAACAAAATTTGGGCTTTTGAGTTGAGATGCTATATAAGCCCGGCTCTCTAGCGTAGTTGGCTAAACCGGATTGCGCGGAGACCGGGTGACGAACTCCTTGTGGTCCGGGTTCAATCCCGGGGGTAGGCAGAAAAGCCAGATTTCTCCCAGATTCACGGTATTTACAATGGAATCAAGGCCGAAAGGTTGCGATATCCATAATACCGAGCCTAAGGGTTAACAACTCATGGCTTCTGGATACTAAAACAAACAAACAATTTGCTATACAAAGATTCTCAGAATACCATAGACAAACTAGAAGAGAAATACTGACATCCTGAAAGATCTTAACGTCAAGGAAGATTGGCTAGTAAACAGCATCTTGTCTCAGAAACTGAACTTTTTGGCCATATCAAGTGCCATAGCAGATTGGAAAGAATAAAAAGAGAGGGCATAATACTGGGAAAGAAGGACTAGGGCCAACCAGCACCAAGATGGGCACAGGATGTGGCACCTTGCATAGGACAGTAGACAAGGAAAGAAAGCTGAAAGCGGTGTTATGAAAACGACCTACTTGATGATGTTGATTAACATATGTTCAGTAGAGAATCCAGAATGGCTTGTACTGAATCTTTACCCAGATATTTACCCCATGGAGAATCACAGTTTTTGATGAATCTGCTAAGGTATGTTCAGTAGAGTATTTCAGTTTTGATGAATCTGCTAAGGTATGTTCAGAAGAGTATTTCAGTTTTGATGAATCTGCTAAGGTATGTTCAGTAGAGTATTTCAGTTTTGATGAATCTGCTAAGGTATGTTCAGTAGAGTATTTCAGTTTTGATGAATCTGCTAAGGTATGTTCAGTAGAGTATTTCAGTTTTGATGAATCTGCTAAGGTATGTTCAGTAGAGTATTTCAGTTTTGATGAATCTGCTAAGGTATGGTCAGTAGAGTATTTCAGTTTTGATGAATCTGCTAAGGTATGTTCAGTAGAGTATTTCAGTTTTGATGAATCTGTTAACCTGTGCTCAGTAGAGTATCACAGTTTCAGTAAATATGTTGATGTATATCAGTATGTAAAGTGAAAAGTAAAGATCCCTTTTCATGCTTTTAGGCGAATCAGGCATATGGGAAGAGCGCCCATTTTTTTTTTTACAGACCATCAGTACTAGGTGATAATTTGAGCAGCATTACGCCGGCCGTCTTTACTTTCCCAGGACATACATCCTGGTACCCATTTTAGGCTGGGTTGACCTGAAATGCCCCATACCATGGTAAAAATCCATGCCGTCAGCAGTGGGTTTCGATTGCGGTACGTTGGAATTACAGTCAGACTCGCAACGCCTAAGCCACGGACGTTGCAAAGCATATCTGTAGAGACTCAAAAACTCAAAAATTTATTAACGTGTGTTCTGTAGAAACTCAAGTTTTGATGAATTTACTAACAGTTGGTTGCACAGTCCATTGCCTGGCATATCTCACAGAATCTCATCAGGTGGGAAACAGGAATCTTTTTAACTGAAATACACACATACCATTGTCTCTTGCTACACTGTACACTTCACCATGGAGTATAAGGTTAATTATATGATCCTTTTCATGAATAAGTGAATCAAGAATTGACATCACTACAGCACTTGGGACATTCCCACAAGTGCTCCATCTCCTCCTTCAGAAGCCAACGAAGAGTCGACATGTTAACAATACCATTTGCAACCTGATTAAAAGACCACCAAAGTGCCCCCACCCCCTCCCCCCTAATTAGTCTTTAGGGTATAATTTATCTTCCTTTTTGTTTGACTATCCATTTAATCCTAAAGAGCCTTCACCACATCTGCTTTGACATAAATTAGCTCACGCTCAGAGGAGCAACAGTAGCTAAATTGTCAGCCTGCTCATTACCTCACACACATGCATATTCTGGACAGAAAATCCATTAGATGCACCTGATCTGTGACTGTTTGATCCTCTTATAAGTTGTGCAACATGTCGTTTGAGTTCTTATTATTTAGATTCACAACAGAAGATTGGTTTCGAATTTATTAACATGTGTTCAGTACAGAATCGTGATTGCATTTTGTAGAACTTGCTAAACACGTAACTAAAGAGGGCAACGAATCTTCTACCATGTGTTTGTTGGAGAATCAAAGTTTCAATCAGTCCACTCGCAAGTTGTTTGGTAAATAATCCTTCAACATGTGAATGTGGAAATATTGAAAGGGAATTACTAACAAATATTCAGTAGAGAATTTGAATGGTCCTTACTGAAAATCCTTTGCAGATTACCTATAATGTGAAGTTGAAATTATCTTATCTGTTCTGTGGAACTGATGTTCATGTGTTTCACATTTTCATGTAAAAGAATAAATACATGAATTTATTTTCTTTATCGTTCGTCCTAATGACGTAATTGTGTTTTGTCTGTTTACAGCATAGCTGTTGTATTTGGGCCTTTTGGCCCACACATCCAGTTTCATCTGGTATTTTTTTTTCCAGGTTAGCCTTCTCGATTGGTTTGATGGTACATGATATAGCCTTATTTGTGCGGTGTCCTTTCTGTCCCTTTATCTGCAAAAATTGCCGCTGGAGAACCCATCCAGGGCAACCACATATAGACTGGTCAGTTCTCAAAGGAGGGCAAGGTCTGATCATGGAGATTTCCCATCATCGAAGGAGGCTTCCGTAAATAAAGAGTTGACACATTATGCTCTGGTTCCCCGTTTAGGTTCCAGGGCCCTGTTATAGGAAAACAAGAGTAGACCCACTGACTACCCAAAAGCATGTCGTAAGAGTCGACTAACTGGGAGCTTCCTTCGAAGTCAGAGTGAATCTGCCTGAGAGGCAAGGAACCAACAGTCTACATACAAATGACTCAGATCTGTAAAACGGATGCACACGCAACACTCAGGTTCTGGAACAAGACTGCAGTCCAGAAGTGATGAACAACCAGAACTTTTCGCCGGAGTTTACTACAGCTGGTGAATGCGAAGAAGATTATGCTCTGGTCCTGGGCTCACTTAAAGAATCATCACATCCTGTACATGACTGCTTAACCTCATATCCGTATGTTGAGCTTGCCCTTGTCATGGGCTGCCCAATCTGGAGATCAACACGGAGCAGCCTGCAGATCCTTGACTTCAGTGACCACACAAATGAACACAGTCTTCTTCAGCGCATTGAACACCTTTAAAGTTGTTGCATCGAAACGTTTAGCATAACAGTATGGAAAAAGCTTTCATCGGGCATGACTTCCCTTGTTTTGTTTCGACACTGTGACAAGCTTAAGAAGATAGAGACAGGATGGAGTCACTGAGGAAATCTCGTTTGATAGGAATTAGTTTCATTTTTGCACCAGGACACTCTAGGGTAAGAGGGAATAAACGAACAGATAGGCTTGCTGGCAGGGCCACGGTTGGTACAGGAAAAGCAATGGATTGGGCCGATATTCTCAGGGCTTTCAAGGAGGCAGGAGGAGAATATGATTCAGGAGATGACGTTGAATAGGCAACACTCATAAGACTACAAGAACTTCAGGTCAAAAGAAGTGTCGCCAAACCTGAACACTATTATTGAGGTGATGTACAGTGTATCTCCTCATACACATCACAACAAACTAGCTTTCCTTCCCGCCTGTGACCAAAATCACTGCGCTGCTCATTTATTTTGATGCTCATCATTTGTACAGTGTTGTATATGAATATACTTTCACGTGGCGGCGTCCATGGCTTAGGGTTTGCGAGTCCGACTCATAATTCCAAAGTACCGTGATCGAAATCCACTGCCGGCTGCGTAGATTTTTATTCTGGTATGGGGAATCGCAGGTCGACCCAGGCCTAAAATGTGTACCAGGATGTACTTCAGTGTTGCATGTATATTTGTTATACAGGTCTGGCATATTTATGTGTAGACTTGTGGTTATTTTCTGTTAGGCAGTTGCAGTCTGACGTTGATCCTTTCTGCACTGGCCAGGCTCTTGGTTGGGGACTTTTTCTTAGATGACAGCGGAGAGGGTACATAAGTCTGGGACTAGAGGGCCACCAAATATGGTTCAGCATCTCTGTATCCCACCATAGAAATCTATTAATGCATTTCTTCTTATTATTCTTCTGCTTCTTTCCCCCCCCCCCCCCTCCTCTTCCTCCTTATTCTTCTTTATCTTCTTCTCCTCCCTCCTCCTTATTCTTCTTTTTTCCATCCTACTCCATCTTCTTCTTCTCATCCTCCTTCTTCTTCCCCTTGTCCTCCTCCTCCTTCTACTTCATACACATTATGATGTCAACTTGAATATTAAGCCCTTGAACCACACAAATAAAACCAGCCTCCTATTGTAACCATTTTATTTGTTTAAATGTCATTATATTTCCCAGGTTGTCTCATCATTACGTGCGTACCAGGAAAAGTCCTGGGAAGTGAAGGCCGCTGGCGTGATGTTGACCACATCACCTACATAGTGCCGATTGGTCTGAAGAATAAAGGTCTAGTCCTATAGTCTGCTTGAAAACATTTCCTTTAACTTACTATTATAACCAAAGCTAGTTTTAGAAGGGTTAAAACTGAATAATTTTTTTAAAGAAAGCAGTTGTCCTTTTGAACTTGTTGGCACCTCCATAGTACTGGCCACAAACGAAGTGGGTGTAAATAAAAAAAAACATTCTCTCTGTTCTTAGACACCCAGAACCCCAAATACCACGCCAAACTTAGGACCTTGGAAGTCAAAGAAAAGAAATATCAGGTGTGACTTCACACCACAATTAAAAGGACACCAAATAAGATGGTCAAGGAACCTTCCTTCATATAGCAGGCCTTCGGGCGGCTGACAAAGGATCAAGTTTGGAATTTTTTTTCATCAAATTGGAATTGGAACTGTTCTTAGAGGGCGCTGCGTGGTCTCGAGGCATGGTCGTCCGCCTCGAGTGTTGGAGGTCCCGTGTTCAAGCCCCAGTGAAGGCTGGATTTTTTCACGTTGACTTCTAGTAATTCTTCCTGGTCTCTGGGTAATGTGATCTGACCTCCGTGTGTATTGTTGCACACGTTAAAAAAAATCCCTTGGCAATTGTAAATCGAAAAGAGTAGCATAAAGGCGCTGTACGGTAAAAATCTACCCGAAGTATTTCAAGATCTTCGCCGCTGCAACAGAGTTCGTGCACTGCGATGAGTCCCTTTAGACTCAGGCGCTTAGAAATAAAATAGAGCACTTATGGATTACATCCGTGTGCCATGATGCTAATCCGTTGAACAAACATCCCCTGTGACTTCCCGTGTGGGTTTCAGTGTCTTAGGTTTGGGAAAAAGGGGGGGGGGAGAGAAAACAGACCAACTTCTTCCCTAAACATCATGTCGCAAGAGTCGACTAATTAGGGGTTTCCTTCGAAGTTGGGATGCATCTGCACGAAAGGCAAGGAACCAGTAGTCTGCAGTATTTGTAAAACGGATGTTCACGCAAAACTCAAGTACTGGAATAGGTCTTAAGTCCAGAAGTGGATGAACAACCAGAACTTTCCGCCAGAATTTATAGCCGGTGAACACGAACAAGAGAAGAAGATCACCAGTGGTTTTGACTCGACTTGCTTTACGAAAACAAACATCGTCATGTTCAACCAGTTTCTTCCGAAAAAGTAGCTTTGGGTTATAATTGTAACTGTGTTTCTTGCGCCAATTGTTGTTGGCTGAAATTGGGGTTGTGTGCCATATTAAATGGCTTAGTGTCCCTATCAGTTTCTCGGTGTCCTTTCATGCTCGTCCAGGTCTGGGCCTCAGTGCTCTAATGGATTTGATGGTTCTTTTATCTAAGAACCCTCTGCTGTTCAGCAGTTACTGAAGTTGTTGCGTGTTTATTTGTTTTTCAGTTGTTATTGATTGTTCCAATTTGTTTTGTCTTTTTGGCCACTTAATGAGAAGAGGGACATTGGAAAACATCGTGACAACTGGAAAGATCAGTGGGAAAAGGGGTAGAGGCAGACCAAGAGAGATGATGCTGGATTGGCTGAAACGATGGCATGGAGGGATATCATCAAGAGAGCTGTTCCAGGCAACCAGGGATCGTGATCTGTGAAGATGCATGAGCGCCTCCGCTAGCTGGCAGGGCACATGAAGATGAAGTTCCCTTGTTCCTTTTTGCTCTATGTTAAACTGTGTTGTTCCTTTTTCAGATGGTTCCTGAGTCTGGCTTCCTAAATATATTTCCTTGGCAGTGAAGTTCATGTTCTTGTGGATCACTTGTGGTTCAATCTATAATTAAGCTGATAAGAACAGAAACTACACCTTGATCTTAGCCAAAAGGTCGAGAAGTGATAATCACCTGTGGTGGACAAACGAAGAAAAAAGACAAATGACTACAAGAACGGCAACTCTAATCAATTGTTTCAGAGCTTCCTGTTTTGTCGTGTACGTAAACAAAACTAGGGACCCCATCCAGAACACGACAGGCAAATATTTGTCTGCCCACACAGTGACACACCTGCACCATATACATAGTACTAAGTACACACACCTGGAAGATGGCAGACGTACACGAGGTGATATTGCCGTTATCAGTAATCGTTATGTCTAGGTAGTTTGGTAACATTTTATATAGTGAGACTAGAGATTGAACCAGCGAAACACAATGACGGTCATTAGGCTAATGACAACTTATGTCAGTTCTAATAATGATAATAATATAAGAGTCTAATATATAATTAACAGTTTGAATAATATAACTATTATTACTTGGTTACCCATAAATATAAATTCAAACAAGTAAAAAGTAAGAAATGCATCTAAACACAAACTGTAACTAAAAGCTAAACTTAAAAACATCATTACGGTCACCGTAACTTTCCCGGATATTACCTGATACCCGTGTTGAGCCAGGTCGACCTAAAAGCCAAGGTCAGTTTCGAAATAAATCTGCCGTGATATGGATTTGAACTCTGGGCCAGCAGGCGCCACTATAATAGATACTCCGTAATTATTGGCTCTACTGTCAAATTTGGCCGGTAAGCTGGACTGCTTTGGCCGGCTTAGTGGGAGTTATGTCCCTTCGCCACCAACTCAAAACAAGTCGCGGAAAAAGTCACGAATCAAATGACATACTTACCTATCATCATCCGGGTGCGTGTAGGGCTGCGTAGGTTTGCGTCTAGGGTTACCTATCATCATACGGTTGCGTGTAGGGATGCGTAGGGTGTCTATCATCATCATCATACGGTTGCGTGTAGGGTTGCGTAGGGTTTGGGTTAGCGGTAGGGTTAGGGGTGTGGGGTAGGGTTAGGGGGAGGGTTAGGGTTAGATGTGACAATTTTCACGTAGGAGGTCGAAATACTGGCCGACAATCTGATGCTTGTGAGAGTGGCGCCACTGGAAGTGTGCCAAATATGACGGCAATAGCGCGCGACGGCTGGTGCCCCAATCGGTGGCGAATTGTCCGTGTCAGTAGCATCCACCGTCCGTCGACTGTTTGCGCGTGCATGCGACTGTGCGCGATTGTAGGGACCTACGGCGTCACAATTGTCACATCTAACGCTACACCTAACCCCTAATACCTAACCCTAAACCCTAACCCCTAAACGCTAACCCTAACCCCTCATCTTACGCCAACAACCAACCTACACGCAATAAGCAGCCCTACACGCAACCGTAGGACGATGATAGACACCCTACGCAACCCTACACGCACCCGGATGATGATAGGTGAGTACGCCGTTTGATTCGTGACTTTTTCCGCGACTTGTTTTGAGTTTGGCCAAGGGACATAACTCCCACTAAGCCCCGCTAAGCCGGCCGAAGCAGTCCAGCTTACCGGCCAAATTTGACAGTAGAGCCTAATTATTATATAGGCCAAAGTAATATCCACAATCCCAACTTTTGTATAGACCAGTGTTTCTCTGCAGTTTTTGCACCGCGGCCCACCAAAACTGGAATTGTTTTTGCTGCATACCTCAGTTGAGCTTAGTATACATACATGCTCCATCCCCATCTTCAGCAGCCAGTGCAGAGTCCCACTGGTAATGGTACTGGTCTCAGTCTGGTCACACCCTGCTGCATCATTCTCTCCAGCCCTTACTTTAATAGTTTCTCTCTTGACTTCGTTATTTGTTCCCAAAGGACTTTGACCACATCTGCCTTGTCATGTATCAGTTCACCACCCACTGGTGCAGATCCAGCCAGTCTATCTGCCTGTTCATTTCCCACCACGCCGGCATAGCCTGGAGAAAAGATCCAAAGTATGCTCACTACCTGTGACCTTCCAAGTGAAGCTTGCCACTCTGCTTGAGGCAACCCTGTCCACCTTTCTCAGCAAATTTTCAGAGTGTTACAATAATGACATGTGTATGTATCTTGTTCTGTAGCCACTGGGAAGCTGCAGTGACAGCCTCCGCCTCCATTCTCATGCTAGGTGTTGTGGCAACGCTCCTGACAGCTAAACCAACACAAAACAAAAACAAATGTTAAAAGCTGTTTTTTGTTAAATCCAGTGTCACAAAGTTAAGATTCTCAGTGTGTATTGGGCATGATGGTTAAAGCGGTCAGTAGCACACTGGTCATCTTTAGTTCTGCTGTGGTAGACTTTAGGCTGGATTAAATTATGCAGCATCTCAGGCTGCCACTTAGATGATCAGCCACGAGGCCTACCCTGACAGCTCCCTTAAGTCAAGTATCTAGTGATTATAATCAAAGTTCAAGATCCCGAGGCTACAGCAAGGTCAGCCCAAGAGTGACACAACACGCTGCAAACCGCCACAGTACCTTTTATTTGGCAAAACGTTTTGCCTAACAGCAACAAAAATTTACCAGCCTAACTCCGGCTTACTTTCCTAACACTCAAGCTTCCTAGTTAAATAATGCAGACATTTACCTACATTGCACAGTTTATTGCCTGGTATATTCCACTGTATCTTGACATGTGCATTCCTACAAAGTTACATCAGCATATATTGAATCACAACAAATTAATACACAAATAACAATGTCTATAGGGAGTCGCCGTGCCGTAGCGGCTAGACGCGCACCGCGGATCGGAAGGTCATAGGTTCGCTCCCTGGCGAAGCCGGACTTTTTTCAAAAATGACCTTGGCTCCCAGGTCAACCCAGCTGCAATCCCGGGAAGTTAAGGCGGCCGGCGTGATGCTGACCACATCACCCATCTTGTGCCGATTGGTCTATAAAATATAGGTCTAGCCCTATATGCCCTTTAGCCCTAAAGACGTGGAAACGTGTCCTTTACTTTTTACTTATAACAGTGTCTATAGTGGCACTAAATATCTCACCACTGCAATTTCAGATCGACAGCATGTTCTTTTTTGATTGCACACGGATGGATTTGTTCATTTTGATTGTCACAGCTCCCACCAGTTTTAGTAAAACCTTTTAAATGTCTGATAAATATCTCAGAAATTAATAAAATAATATTATTTTGATATCAAGATACTCACTAATATTTTAATATGTGATCATCATAAATATTTACTTAGTGTGTATCTATGTCCTGATATTTGGAAAGCGCCTAATATACACATGATGGTAATGAATGATATTTTCTTGCTATTCTCAGAACGGATATCTGGATGAAGCCTTGTTTGACCCCAGTGTCCTGAATCAGCTGGATATGAGCCAGTTTAAAGCAGAATATAAGAATGTTACAACACCTCTAACACCAGAACACAATCTACAGATTCGACCATTACATTTGGAAGACTATGACAAAGGTAATGGAATGGGTTGAACTGCTGTAAACAAGGACTAACTTTTTCTAGTTTCTTCTTCTCCTGTTCACTGGTTGTAAACTCCGGCCGAAAATTATGGTTGTTCGTTCACTTCTGTACTAGTCCTGTTCAGAATCTGAGCGTTGCACGCGCATCTGTTTTACAGATTTGATTCATGTGTATGCAGACTGTTGTTTCCTTGCCTCTCAGGCAGATGCACTCCAACTTTGAAGGAAGCTCGCAATTAGTACACTTTTACCACTTGCGCTTATGGGGGGATGTAGTTGGTCTGTTCTTATTTTCCTCACAATGAGATCCCGGAACCCACACAGAGATTTGTAGTTTTTAAAAACCAAGTTGAATTAGTATTGCTTTGCTTTTGTGTGCTGGTGAAGGTTTTCTAGCTCCAATGTCATTTCTTTCAATAGTCAATATATCATCCTCATCACACATCAGAACACAAAGTTCACAGGTGCTTGGATCGCCTCTGAGGTTTTCCCTAAGCTTTTGACGACTTATAACACCAGTTCTTTGATAATTCACTATTCTTCCTAAACCTCTTGCATAGCATTCTTGTTCAGCTTCACCTGTTTGACTTGATGTTCTTGCAGACTGTTCAGGATTGCTAATTCACAGTTATTGTGATTGTTAAGTAAAGAACCTTTTTTCTCACGTTATTGGGCATATAGGGCTACACGTATATTTATAGACCAATCAGCATTGGGCCGATGATGCGGTCAACATCACGCTGGCCGCCTTTACTTCCCAGGACTTTACCTGGTAGCCATTTCAGACTGGGTAGACCAGGGAGCCAAGGTCATTTTTAAAAATAAGTCTAGCTCCACCAGGACCTGTACCCACAACCTTCAGATCTGCAGGCGAGTGACTAGCCACTACACTACAGCAGTGATTGTATTCCGAAAAGAGAATGAGAGTAGTATTACTGTCCATTGTTGTCAGTTTACCAACTGCATGATAGAGGTGCAGTTTTATACAGTATGTGATACCTTAAATATCTTTTATTTTGACACTTTCTTTCTCTTCACTTTCCTTCAGACACGGAATGTGACAACTAGATAGCGAACTACTTCTTCACCTCCTTTTTATTTTAAAAACACTTTAGGTGTTGGGCGAGATACAAGGTTCATGTTCTTTCTCTTCTAGCCAACTCGACATCACACAGTTGTAGAGTTTCTCTGCTATCTTTATATCTTGTTCTTGGCTAACCTTGTACTCTATTTCTCCTCATTCGCTGATGCCTTGTATGGTATGGTATCAGAAGACATGCTCACTCAGTGTGCAAACTATGTTATTTGCTGTGTTTGTATGTAATTCAGTATCAGTTCTATGCTTAAGTAACTGCTATGAAAAAGTTATTATTTAACTTCCAAAAAGGCTAAACAGAAAAGAGGGGGAGTTAAAGGTGCAAGCAATGACTTCATTAAATCAGTTAGGTGCCTTCTTCACAATGAAGGTTGGCTGCAATGGATCTTCAGTATTCTTTGGTCTTGGTAGTACACACTCTCACACAGTTGTTTATTCATCTCTTGATGTTGTCTTTCAACTTTATCAGTGTCTACTCCGTGTTCTCTTGTCTGTGAATTTTCCCTCCAATATGATTATTAAGAGTGTGTTTGTGTTTCAACATCTTTCTTATAGTTCCCAGTTAATACAGAGCCTCTTTAATTGATTGTTTTTGTTTCCATGATATACGACTTATTTTTCTGTTTTGATTTTATTGCACCAGGTTTCATCCCATCTGGCTTAGTCTCGCTCTTTTAGTCTACACAACAGCTGGCTCCAAAGCCCGAACAAAAACCTCCTTTTTTATAAGGAAGAAAAATATATAAAAATTAACAAGATCATAAATTAAATATGAGTTACAGGGGCAAAGAAAGGATAGTCACACTGTAACTGATGATGTGTGTCATAAGAGGCATCTAAGGAAGGTTGGCACAGGACGGGTTACCTCTACAGAAAAGTTTAACTACAAAGTCTAACTATTCATGAACAAGTTTACAGAGGACTTTGAAATCGGAGTGCATCTGCCTGTAAGGCAAGCAACCAGCAGCTGCAGACAAATTAGCTAATTCTATAAAATGGATGCACACACAAAAGTTAAGCCCTGGAACAATGTCAGAATCCAGAAATGGACACAACCAGGACTTGACGTTCCGCAGGAGTTTACAGCCTGTGACCACAAATGCACACAAAACACACAAAGGGTTTACCAAATGTTGGTTCAGGGCCTTTTCCATTTGATTTGATTCAAGAACCAACCGACATCACAGCACTCGGGGCATTCCCAAAAGCGCTCCGTCCCCATCTTCAGCAGCCAGCAAAGAGTTCCGATACTAATGGTGCCAGTAGATTCTGATTTAACATCCGTCTTGCCTTTGCTCGTAGCCTCGAGCTTCTGCCAGAACCTCTTTTCCATTTAAAGATTAAAACACATGAATAGGATGGAATGGAATATATGCAGCTAAAATGGTTTGTTTATTTTCAGGTTACCTTGACTTACTAAAGCAGCTAACGACTGTTGGGGACGTAACCAGAGAAGAATTTGTAGGTATGTCATTATATTGTTTGTTATCTGATTGTAAGGGGGCTGAGTGGTCTCGGGGCATGGTGTCCGCCTTGAATGCTGGAGGTCCCGGGTTCAGGCTCCGGTGAAGGCTGGGATTTTTTCACTTGGACTTGTCGTAATTTCCCCCTGGTCTCTGGGTAGTAAGATAGGATGCCTGTGTGTATTGTTGCGCGCGTAAAAGATTCCATGGCAGTTGGAAATTTGAAAGAGTAGCCTAACAGCACTGCCTGGGCAAAATTTGGAGTAAAATCTACCCAAAGTATTTCAGGATGTACAATGAAGTTTGTGCACTGCGCTGAGATTCTTTGGACTCAGGCTTGAGTTAGAAGTAGAACACAGCACTTATGGGTTACTGCCCTTGTGCCATGATGTTGATCTGTTGTTTAAACCAAACTAATCTATTTGTGAGAAAATGTATATAGTTTAAAAAGTAACATTGAATTTCTTGAGGCCCCAGAAATGCAGTTTTACAGAAGAATTCTTTATAGGGTCAAAATAATAATAAAACTTTTTGAAAGAGGAGGTTGTGAAAACTATAATGGATTGAGGAAACTATGTTCAAGAGAAACGCTGATGTGAAAGTTGATGAGAGAGGCCAAAGGTGCTGGACTGTTTTATATCCATATCAACAAGCGATTGTTAGGAAAGACATCTGGATGAGAATTCACATAGGTGTATTGGCAAAGAGAGGCATTGACAAACGATGGAGTAGTGTTTGCATTAAACACCCAGGTGCCACTACTAGGTTCATTGCAACCGCCACCGGACGAACTTGCTTCAAATACAAGGTGGGATGTTCAGCTGTATTGATAACAACAGCACAGTAATGAACAGGCTGCAAAAACTTCGGGAGGGATGGTCTTTTTCACTGACCGATTGCAGCCATACAAGCTCTAGATGCCAAAACTACTGACAGTACCCTACAAAGCCCTGCTGAGCTATAAGAAAAGGCAGAAATTCCCATGCAGTGGACCCCGTCTCACTGTGGGATCAAAGGAAATGAAAGGGTTCTTTATTAATATTGTACCCCTAGATGACGTCACGAGACAGTCAAACATTTTAGAGGGTGGTAAGACTGGACTACATCCCACGAGAGAGTGCAGCCTGGGTCTCACTACTGCATGCAGCCTATCTATCACCCCCTGAAATATTAGACTGTCCTGTGACCTGTGGATTTTCCCTGTTTGGGGTAGGATATTAATAATGCACTAATGAAAGTGCTGATGTCTTAGCCACGGAGGGCAGTGTCAGACAACAGTCATACCAGTCATTGTCGATTCCAGAAATGAAGACCCTCGTTAGGAGAAAATAAAAAACAGACTGAAAAACATACACTGGGTATCTAAAGAAAAATTGAAAATAAAAAGATGTTGTTAAACATCTAAACAGTTTCCATTTTTCATTTACACTTGTATTTTGCGGACTCAACAAACATTTATTCAAATTAGGTATAAACAGACCTCTGCCAGTGTCTTTGTGCTGAACAGACCCCAGAACATGTCTGCAAAACAGTATGTGGCCACACCAAGTAGACCTGACAACTAAGTTTCAGTGAAACCTGAGAGACCTCAAACTAACATCCAAGTTTATGGCCCACAGTTGATTCAGCACATGACTAGAGATCGCTGAAAAAGAAGAAGTAAGGAAAGAACAGAATGGAAGAATAGACTGCAAGCCCTGTTTGACATAATGGGACGATAATGATGATGAAGTCAAGACAACTTATCACAAACATCTGACGGTTGTTTTTTAATTTTTCAGCCACCTTATTAAAAGAAACAAAACTGGAACATATGGTAACAACTGGAAAGATTTATGGAAAGGAAATTAGACTTCTTGAAAGCATTTCTGCAAATTTTGGCTTTAAAACAAAAACTATCCCATTTACTTCTAAAAACATCCAGTTTGGTTTTAAAAAACATACTGTATTGTTTTAAAAACTGAACAGTTTAAAATGAAAATGGTATACACACACAATATATGGAATATACAAAATACGGATGTGAGTCGTGGACTATCTGTCAGTCCTTAAGAAAGAGAATAGGGGCTTGTGAGCTGAAATACTATAGAAAGATTCTCAGAATATCTTGGACAAAGAAGAGGAGAAATATTGACATCTTAAAAGATCTGAACATCAAGGAAGATTGACTAATAAACAGCATCATTTCTCAGAAGCTGAAATATTTTGGTCATATCAAGCGCCACAACGGATGGGAAAAAACTATAGCAGAAGGCATGGTACCAGGAAGGAGGGGCAGGGGCCGACCAACACGAAGATGGGCACAGGATATAAGTGGCTCCTTGAGTATGAAAGTATATGAGGCAGGAGAGCTGGCGAGAGACTGAGTTTCTTTCAGGCAGACCGTGATGAGAGCGACGTTCTGCAAAGGACTTGCTACATGATGATGATGATGATGATGATACACACGCAAATACACATGCATACACAAAGAGAGAGAGAGGGGGAATAAATAATAAGGTAAACTATTATAAATTGCCACGTTTTTTTCTGTTCATAGACAGATTTCAAAAGATGAAGGCATGTCCAGACACTTATTACATTGTTGTGATAGAGGATTTGAAATCTGGCCAGATCATCGGGTCTGCTACACTGGTAAAAGAACAAAAGTTTATACACCACCTGAGCTCTGTAAGTTGGCATTCCTGCGCTGTTCATTTTTTCTGTCTTCTGCTTTTAAACTTTTATGATAGTATTCTTTTATTTGTGTCTTTAAAGTAGTGTTTGCTTATTTATTTTCTTTGATTTGGGTAAAATATCGCTTTTATTGTGTTTTGGAGTTTACCGAAGAGAAGATAATGGTATACTATGCCTTCAAAATCCCTCAGAAGTTAGAAAAGAAAGCGGTCTGAATGGATTGTAAATTATGGTAAATTTCGGTATTATGAAGTCTACAAAAAATTGATGTACAGGTGTGGTGTAAAACAAACAGGCAGGCGGACTAGCTGGTTCTGCATCACTTGGTGGTAAAGTGATGCAGGGCAAGCTAGATATGGTCAAGGCCCTTTGGGAGTAAATGAAAGGAGCTGAAGCACAAATAGATCCTCACAGTTGGACAGCCGGTTAAAATGGACGCTAGACAGCGGCGCTGTTCGGAGCGGAGGCAAATTTTTTGCTTCTGCCGGAGGGTGGCCGAAGTATTTTTGATCCATTTGTAGACTGGATATAGTTTCGTCGCCCAGCTTCTGAGTTGAATGCATGGCGTGACCCTGTGAGCTGCGGATTGCATTTGGAACGTTTTTTCGACTGTGACCAACGTGGTGTGAATTGTAGATTCAGAAAATGGCGCGATGCCGGTCGTGCAATGCTGGCGGGACCCGTATTAAAATTGATCGCCTGGGCAACTGCTGATCTGTTGGCGACAAGTTCTGCTATCATCAATGATGAACTACATTTCTAATGTTGGACTGTTTGTGTTAGCACTTCGGATGGCTACCATATGCGTTAATGCGAGTGTATGCTAGATATGCTGAGACAGCAGTCTGTCAATCTTTCCACAAGGGACTGTGATAAACATTCTGGGTGTTTTTCGCTGGCACAGGAGCGGAGCAAAGATGGGGCGACCCGTTTGCTATGAAGCTGAAACTAAGACTACCAGACTACCATCATCCCTCTAGCCCCCTTAACTCTGTCACCACAAGAAGCCAGAAAGCCGACACTTCCGGCTGAGGCCAGTTCCCTGTGAATGCCACTTTACCAACTGAAGTGATCTGTTTGTGAGACATATAGTTGATGCAATTGGCTGTATTTGCACCTGTGAAATCCTATCTGCTGTCTTCCCGTCCTTTTTAGGATAACAGTTTTGGTTTTTTCAAGCCCTACTCTGGCTCTTGCCAGGGGCCGCAATATAGCCTGGCCATAAATATGGCCTAAAGGCTAAATGCGGTTTCTTTGACCTCACCCACATGGTGGCACACTGTGTCATCGGGTGTTTATCGTCTGTGTGATGTCCTGGTGGGGTAGAAAGTCAGTCAGTCAGGATGTGAATATATTAATTAAACAGAAACATTTAGCAGTGTTTTTCTTCAAACCAAATGTTTTTTAAGCCAAATTGGCATCATATTTTTCCATAAGCCTCAGTGAAAGAGGTCAGTGGGTTATAGCATGATTCACATGTATATATAGGCCCCTGGGGACTGTATTTCATTGCTTCACTCTGTTCATGTTTATTGATTACTTCCCTTATACATCTTTATATATTTTGAGGGGACAAAATTAAATGTACACAAATGAGTTTTTTAAAATGTATGGTGACCTGATTTCCAAGAATTTTTTTTGTGTTTCTAACAAATTTTGTAAGAATTTCTATAAGGTCATGACCCATTTATTTTTAACATTACCGGGGTGAAAGAGTTAACTTTCCAGGATGTATCTGTTACCCATTTTAGGCTGGGTTGAGTTTGCGAGCCATGGATGGATGTTTGTGTGCATTGAAAATGACCTTATCCAAACAAACTAGTAAATACTTTAGTTCGTTGTTCTTAATATTCCATTCCCTTGTTTCTCCAGAGAGGCAGAGTAGAAGATGTTATTGTCAGTGATCTGTACCGGGGCAAAGAACTTGGAAAACTGTGAGTGGTTGTTTACTTATTGTATCCACAGGGCTGTTTTTCCCAAATGAACTGTACACAGTGCTGCCATTTTGTCTTTCTTTCTTATCTATACAATCTTTTTTTTTTTTTAAGGCATCCCCTTTTCAGTGTTATTGTAAATAGACACTTTAGGGTGAGTACTGGCACCATCTTTCTTTATAATTTTTATTTTACACACCTTGCTGTGAGTACTGGCACCATCTTTCTTTATAATTTTTATTTTACACACCTTGCTGTGAGTACTGACACCAATTTTTCTAGGGGTAAAAAATCCCTGGTATCCACAATTCCTCGTCTGGTGGTTTGTTTTAAATAAACATTGGATATCTAATTGCTGGCATCTTGAAGGCTAATACACTGCAGTAGTTGTTAGTTGGAGCATATAAAAAGTATGACTGATAACAGAGAGAAGAAAAATGTGTAAAAAGAGATAATATACTGACAGAAATATACAGGCATGAAATATTTTACACTTCAAATTTAAAATGCCTGGTTTGTATATAATATGTGAAATGGCATTCTGATGAAAAGAACAGCTGCACGAAACCCTTAACAAGGTATGCGAGGAAAATGTGCACTCCTTAGAGTCCAAGCCTTGTGTCGTTGGTAGTCATACCTATCCACAACCTTCTGTCTTGTGTACTTTCAATCCACTGTGACACAGATGATCCTCCATGCCGTGATGTCAGACTGTCTAGCATCTTTTCTCTCGGTCTCGCCTTTCCTCCCCTCTAACTTTCCTACAGTCACAATGTACTCCAGTTTTCTCCTTCTGACCAAAGAATGTAGATTGTCTCTTTCTGATGTGGGCAATCAGTTCTCTTCATGAGCCAGTATCTTTCAGGATGTCTTCATTACTCTTTGTATCTGTCCAGGGTGTTCTCATCATTTAACTATAAAAACCACATCTCCGCAGCTTGCGAATAAGTTTTCACTAATTTACTGTCCCTGATTCACACCCATATATCAGAATAGGATTTATATAGCTTTTATGAATTCTCTTTCTCGTCTCAATTAACAAAGAAAGATTGCATAAAATATTCTTCATTTTGTGAAATCCTGCCTTTGCTTGAGCGATTCTACATTTAACTTCTTTAATACATCTTCTATCTGATGTTACCAGGATACCCAAGCACTTAAACATATCAACTTGCTTGAGGTTTGTCCCATTCACATTGATGTTGCATTTTGGATGGTCGGTTTTCTTTGTAAAAAAAAAATGGGCACTTCAAACAACAAATTATTACAGGGTGTCCCGCAAGTTTCCTTACACAGGAAAAATGCCATTGTTTTGAAAACACTTTCCAATGTGTTGCCCCCACTGCTGTAAACACGTATAAGCTGGAGTTATGCTTGTGATGAGGTTGGTGATATGTTTATATTTCTTATGTATGGAAACTTTTGGGACACCCTGTAGAATTTCTTACTACAGGAAACAAAACTGGTGAATGTTCATGACAGTATGCTGTGAATGGAAATTGTGCAGTCAGTATGGGCTGTGTTGGTCACTGGGTTCCGAAAGTTAAAACTTCAGAAAATGGCTCGAGGGCGCTAACCATGCTGTGAAGAAATGGCTGCTTGAACTAGTCAAAACCTGATAGATTGTGTAAAGGTCAGTTAATTTTCACAGTGTGTCAAAACAGTATGTGAGACAAAAAATATGGGGCTTTATCTTCTGAATAAAATTAGTAACCATGGACATGAGAAGTCTGAAAAGGGCTGTAGTAGTGACCTGAAGAGATAAAATCAGGAATGAGGTCGTAAGAAAAAGTCAGCACAGAATTGTTTCTAAATGACATGCAAAAACAGCAAATCAAATGGTTTGCCCATTTTGGGAGAATGCCTTGTGACACCATAAAAGGCAAACACTAAAAGCAGAGAAGGATGTAGAGCATAAGGAAGAACAGAGTGGAAAGATAATCAGATAAATCCTACAACAGCATGATGTGTTTAAAGTAGAGGCAGCCAGAAGAGCAAGAAAGGACCCTTTTCCACACCTTATTGGGTATATAAGGCTAGACCTATATTTTATAGACAATCAGCACTCGGTGGGTGATGTGGTTCATGCCGTGCCAGCTGCCTTTACTTCCCAGGACTTGACCTGGTTCCCATTTGAGGCTGGGTTAACCTGGAAGCCAGGGTTAATTTTTTTTTAATCCAGCTTCATTCAAATTTGAACCCACGACCTTCTGATCCGCAGACGAGCATCTAGCTGCTACACCATGGTAGCTCCTAGAAGAGCAAGAATTATAATATATCCTTCGACCGCCAGAGTGGTAAAAGAGGAAGTGAAGAAAAAGAAGACTTTCTGAATGTTCCCCATTAGTGTCTTATTCATTGTTGCATTGTCTAATTAATTTGAAAGCCAGATTTTTGTGTCCACCCCTCTAGACTTGTGGATATTCTGGTGTGTCTGAGCCAGCAGTTGAACTGCTACAAGGTGTCGCTGGAGTGCAAGGATGACAATCTCAAGTTTTATTGCCAGTTTGGCTTTGAAAGGACACCAGGGCAGAACTTCATGCAGCAGAGATTTTATGACTAATTCAACTATTTTGGTTCATTGGGAAGCTATCCAGTTTTGTTCTCAAAATTATTGATTCATTGGAAACAACTACCCCATCCGGGTTTGTTCTCAGAATTATTAGTTCGTTAGAAACAACTACTCCATCCAGTTTTGTTCTCAAAATTATGGTTTCAATAGGAAACAACTACCCTATCCAATTTTGTTTTCAGAATTTTTGGTTTATTGGAAAAACTATCCAGTTTTTATTCTCAGAATTTTTGATTGTTTCATTGGAAAAAACTATCCAGTTTTGTTCTGAATTATTGGTTCATTGGAAAAACTATCCAGTTTTGTTCTCAGAATTATTGGTTCATTGGAAAAACTATCCAGTTTTGTTTTCAAAATTATTGGTTCATTGGAAAAACTGTCCAGTTTTTGTTCTCCAAATTACTCCTGCTGACATATTTAGGTTCATTTTAAGTTTCTGGCAATTGCTTCTTTAAACCCATTAATTCATTGTTTCTTTAACTGATTCTGTCAGAAGCAGTAGTCATCTTAAATAATAAAAACCTTAAAATTATACAATTATGGGACAGAAGAGTTAATAGGAGAGTTTGAATATATTGGGTTGTAGTAACAATTATGTCAGACTTGGATGACCGAAGGACAGGAGAGAAAACTAAACATATGTGAAATGAGATGTTTAAAAAAGGCTGTGAACAAAAGCAGAAGAGACCGTGTGAGAAATGAAATTAGAACTGTTTGGCAATACCCATAATTAAATCCATTGAGCATCAAAGACTGATGTGTTAAAGTTGGATTGTTTGTACTTATTGTTTAACATATTATCATTCCATTGTATAAAATAGGCCAAGAAAGTGAATGTTAAAGATTATTATTTGTACTTATTGTTCAGCATATATCAACATATAATCATTCCTCTGTATAAAATAGGCCAAGAAAGTGAATGTTAAAGATTATTATTTGTATTTATTGTTCAACATATATCAACATATAATCAGTCCCTCAAACTGAAATAATAATTTTAACATTGATTGACCGTAATTATTTTCTAATATAGGGGGTGAGTGGTCTTGAAGTATGGCATCTGCCTCGAGTGCTGGAGGTCCCAGGTTCAAACCCCGGTAAAGGCTGGGATTTTTTCACATGAACTTGAAGTAAATTTCCCCTGGTCTCTGGTTAGTAAGACCGTACGCCCGTGTGTATTGTTGTGCACTTAAAAAATCCCTTGGCAGTTGGAAATTAAAAAAGAGTAGCCTAACGGTGCTGTCTGGGCAAAGTTTGGAGTTAAAAATCTACCCAAAGTATTTCATGATCCTCGTCAGTGCGGCGGAGTTTGTGCACTGTGTTGAGATTCTACAGACTCAGGCTTGAGTTAGAAGTAGAACAGAGCACTTATGGGTTACACCCGTGTGCCTTGAATAAACATAAACATTTTCTAACAAATTATGTCTGGCCTATTAAAGAGTATGTATTTCAACTCCTTCACCCCAGAAATGCTTTAAAAATTCTGCCATGAACTAGGGAATTACTGAAATAAAATGACGCCCAATACCATGATAAAAATCCACGCAGCCAGCAGTGGGTTCCGATCGCAGTACGTTGAAATTATGAGTCATATGAACATTGACATGTTGTAATTAATGTTGAACTTATAGACTATTACTTATTATAGAGTGTTAATGTCAACAATGGTTGCATAGTCATCATGATGTTTTACTTGATAACGAATTATTTACAGATCTGTTTGTTTATATTATTTATCTCAGACTTTTGTTGTTTTCCAACTACATTTGTTTATTAGTGCCATGTTGTGTAACTTTCGGAATGAGATCTTGCATTAATTTAATCATGTTTGTTGAAGGTGGTGGGTTTCTCAATGTATGGTGTACCATCTTCATTATTATCATCAGCTTCATTGTTATTATCTTTTCTATGATAATCTTCATCATTATCATCTTCTTCATAGTTATCTTTACCATCATCATTATCTTCAACATTATCGCTTCTTCGTTGTTATCTTTACCTGCATTGTTTTCTTCTTTGTTATCTTCTTCTTCATCACTATTATCATTACCTTTATTATATTTATCTTTGTCATTATCATCTTCCTCAGTATTATCTTACTTTTTACCATTATCTTCATCTTAAACATTATCATCTTCTTCATCATTATCTTCACCATTGTTATTATCTTCATTTTTATCATTTTCTTAATCTTCAACATTATCATCTTCTTCATCATTATCATCTTCTTCATCGTTATCTTCAACATTATCATCTTCTTCATAATTATCTTCACCTGCATTTTTATCTTGCAAAATAATCCATGACTTCTATCCATATGTTGCCACAACAAATCCATGCACTCAAATTTGTGTTATTTAATCTTTGTTTAATATGGATAAATACACATAAATTGTTTAAACTCAGTAAACCTGAAACTATTCATGTTATTTGAAATTTCCTATACAGTGAAACTCCAATACGTGTCATTGTTCTGTTCCTGAGATGAGGATGAATATTGAAAAAGGATAAATGTCAAACAAGTTTGTCCCATAGGAATTAACTAAAAATGGTTTAATCCATTCCCAGTCCAGAATTTTGTCTATCGATCCTTTAACAAACACAATTTCACTCGCAAATTAATCTCAGAAATCATTGCAAATACAATTTATATTACATAAAAACCATTGTATTTATTATTATGTTACCATTATGACAAAAATTTACTTTTCCTGATGACATAAATATACTTTAGGCCTACAATCAATCAGTCAATCCTCATCTCGCCCAGAGGCACATAAGGTAGAGATGAACTGTCGCCACTCAATTCGATCCTGAGCCATCCTATCTCCAGTTCTATCCTTCGGGAAGCCTTGAGTTCAGCCTCAAAGGTTTGCCTCCAAGTGCCACTGGGCCTGCCTCTTCCTCGCTGTCCTTGTGGTGTCCATTGCATTGCCTGTCTCTGCCGTCTCTCTTTTTTCATTCTGAGGACGTGTCCAATTCACCTCCATCTTCATTTTTTTTTCTTCTAAATTGACATCTTCTAAGTCTATCATGTGTTGCAATCTAGAATTACTGATTTTATCTTTCAGTGTGAACCCCAACAATCTTCTGAGAAGTCTTCCCTCAAAACCTCTGAGCATGCTCTGTATCTTTCTGTCTGTTTTCCAAGTTTCTGCTCCATAGCGGAGAACTGTCCTAACGCATGTTTTGTATATCCTGAGTTAAGTTTTAGTGCTGTAGGTAGATGTTTCAGACACTCTTAAGTCTGCTATAAGCAGCATTTGCCTTTGCAATTCACTGCTTGATTTCAACCACTACATTTCCATCCGAGGAGATATTACTTCCCAGGTAAGTGAAGTCAGTTACTGTTTCCAAACCTACACTACTAGGCTTACATGAATACTAATTACAATTGTAAAAAGACATTTACCTTTTGAATGAAAAAAAATGGCTATTGTTTGATATGGTATTGATTCACCAGTGCTGTTGTTTTTAAAGAGGTTATCCAATGTTGTTTGTTTTGTTCTGTTTTATAAATGTTCAGAAAGTGTCCAAACACATTGTTATCAAATGAATTGTTATGCTGATTAACTGTAGTGGTGAGACCTGCATCTTTGCCAAAGGGGACAGCTGTTCCTTCATTTCAGCACTTGAAACTGGCTCATCATCTTACTTGTCCTCGTCTGATGTCTCACTGGCCAAGTCAGAGAAGGGACAAAGTTTAATGAAAATCTGGATGCATTTTAAAAAAAGATAAATGCTGGCATGGACAAATATTGGAGTTCCAGTGTATCTGTATCAATCAATTGATCAACGAGGTTCTGTCTCCACAAGGAAGGTTGGCTGTAATACATCTCTAACATTGCACACTGTCTCAGACTGTTCTTCATCCAATGCTTGATGTCATTAGCCCAATTGTATCGCTGAGTACCTCTCATCATACCTTGTTGCATCATTCTCTCCAAACTGTTGGTCTATTTGCTTTTCTGTATTATTCAAGTGCTCTGGCCAACCCTGCCTTGTTGTATATAACTTCAGTAGCACCAGTCTGTCTGCCTGTTCATTTCCTAACACATCAGCATAACCTGAAGAAACATGTGAAGGTTGCTCACTACCAGGGCTAGATTTAAACTTGATGAGGCCTAAGCTATATCAAGCCCTGAAGCCCCTACCATTTTATATTGCACCAGCTCATTTCAGAAGACTTTTAAATATATATATGCCCTTTAAATGTATGGATAATAGAAATACCCGTACATTGTCATTGAATTTTTATGAAGAGAAATAATAAAGAATGTGTTTGCAGAGTCACAGAAATTATATTAAATATATATTATTATCATCATCATCAAGTGCCTTGCCAACCAAGGGGCGTGGGTGATCATGCCTCTCCATAATCTGCGGTCTTTAGCTGCGTGTATCAGTTAGCATGTTGACGCCCCTCCAAGGCATGACAACAGTTTGTCAAGAATAGTCGTCTATTGTCTTCGTGTGTCTCTCTTTCCACAGATCTTTCTAGTAGTCACAGCATGTAAAAAATATGTTTTTATGTTCGATCTATATTAGAAGACAATTGAATTTAAAATATATGAAAAGGAAATGCATTTTGAATTTTTTTGTGGTCCCTGTAGATTGTGAGGCCCTGAGCTTCCGGCCCAGTATAAAGGACTAGGCATGGCAGAATAAAAAGCATCGAAGTAATGCGATTTTTACAAATGGATGGAAATCTATCGGTTTTACTGCCTAAGCTACTTAGTAAAGTGCACGGTGCAGCACTGTAAACTGTGTTTTTATGTGGAATGCCTTTCATTTTTGCAGCAGTTAAGTCGTGTTATTCAATATGGTCAGCAACCAGTTTTAATGCAGGCTGGCACAATATTGACCTTATGTAATAGTTTTACGTTCCTGTAGCCAACTTATTATGACTGACTAATTCCATCAACGACAAACTGAGTTTCTGGTAGCAACTGTTGGCTTTGGCACATCTAGTAACTGCCTTTTGCATTTTC